CAAGAAAAAAATAGAAACTTTTCTAAAAATTCCCTTTACATTATTTTTTGGCCCTATATGAAGCATGTTTTTACAACTAGCAAAATTGCATTTTTTACCCCATTTTTATTCCTCCAAAATGGCACTTGCCAGGGCACTAAGAATAATTTTCCTTCGGTTATGGTTAGTTCAGACAATGGTCTTTTTATATCTGGTGAAAAAAATCTTGGGTTATTGTATATTCTTTGGGCAGTAGCGCTCCAAAAATGGTAAATTTCACAAAAACCTTAAAAAGTGTATGTTCAGTGGTTTCCTTTGTTTTAAGTAATAACTTGTATAATTGGTATTGTTCATGAATCTAGCACATTTTCAAACAGAATCAGACTGTGTATCATTATTAGACCAGTGGATGAAAAGTAGGTCGTGTACTTCCCCCCCCCCCCCCCCACACACACACACACCTGGCTAGGCCCCATCCACTCCCCCTTTGCCACCGAATTTAGAACGTGTATGTTGCATAACAAAACAAATGCAAATAAATAATATGCAAGTAAACACTTTATAAATAAAATAGACTTCCTTTTCACAGCCTCCCCTTCCCCCACCCCGGGGGCATTGCTTGGGGTTGAGGGTGGGGTGATACCACCCACCAATGACTTGGCATTGTCGGTAAAATCATTGTCACATTGGCAAAACTCATGTGTTTGCAAACCGCAATGAATAATAATGGCCATATCCATTGTCCTCTGATTGAAGTGCACCATTATTCAAATGATGTCCAGTCCTCCCCTCCCAGCAAGGCCCCGCCCCTTCCCTTGCCACCAAATTCAGTTTTTGATTGCTGCATGTATTTGCCTAAATTAAATTGTAAATACTAGATAATAATTTGCAAGTGAACCTTTTACAATCTACACCAACAGCCGTCTCACAGCTAGCCCCTTCCCCTGCCACCCCCACTCCCAAAGCTCAAAAGAGAGTTTTGCCAATTCGGGTTGAAAACCCACATATTTTTGGAATAAAATTAGTAAGTATATAGTCCCTATGGCATTGACAATGGATGCATACAGTTGCCTGCCTGGGATGAATGTTTACACAAAAAATACAGAAATTATGCCCAAAATGTTATCTAGACAAAAGTTTGGAAAAATATATAAAAAACACCGCTAGTGGTAACAGCAATAGAACCAAGAATGTCATATTATAGAGTAATGGTCAACCAATATTTTCCTGACAAATCAGTTGTAGGAAAATCGGTCAAAGCATATGCAAATCAACATGGGGATAACAGTGTGCTGTACCCCTCCCTTTAAAAAAAAAACCCAAATACCCGCCAGAAAGGGTTCAAGTCTGTAAGCACTTGTGGTTCGGTGGGGAAGTTGATATATTTTTCTCTTCTCTGTATTGAAAAGTATTGAAAATAATAAAATCAATGCAATTTCGTTTAAAAAAATTACAGCATTATGTACATGTACCATGTACATGTATATATATTAGACCCCCCCCCCCCCCGCTTTCCAGATATTCCAAACCACTCCCACCTTGACAAAAAATAGCCAAACCTACATAGAGCATATAAATATGTGGACTTTCCGCAAGGCAATATGTAACCTCAACAATAATACATGTTGAATTCTTTGGGAGGGGTCGGGGTCGTTGCTCATAATGAGCACTGGAGTAGGAAGAGGGGTGGCAGGGGGTGGGCTGTGAGATGGGTACGCCTGTTGGTGTAAATTATGAAAGGTTTACTTGCAAATTGATATCTATTTACAATTTTAACGTAGGCAAATACAAGTAGCAATCAAAATCTGAATTTGGTGGCAAGGGAAGGGGCAATGCCTAGCTGGGAGGGGAGGACTAGACATCATTATTTTAATTAATGAATGCACTTCAATCAGAGGACAAAGGATATGGCCATTATTATTCATTGCGGCTTGCAAACACATGAGATATGGCCATGTGACAATGATTTTACCGACAAAGCCAAATTACTGGTGGGTGGTCACACTCAACCCCAAGCAATGGCCCCAGGGTGAGGGAAGGGGAGGCTGTGAAAAGGAAGTCTATATAATTTCTTAAGTGTTCACTTGCATATTATTTATTTACATTTGTTTCGTTATGCAACACACAAGTTCAAAATTCGGTGGCACGGGGGAGTGGGCGGGGCCTAGCCAGGTGTGTGTGTGGGGGGAGAGTACACGACCTGCTGTTCATCCACTTGTCTAAAAATGATACAGAGTCTGATTCTGTATGTGAAAATGTGCTTGATTCATGAACAATACCAATTATACAAGTTATTACTCAAAACAAAGGAAAACACTGAAAATACACTTTTTTAAGGTTTTTGTGAAATTTACCATTTTTGGAGCGCTACTGCACAAAGCATATACAATAACCCAAAATGTTCTCACCAGATATGAAAAGACCAATGTCTGAACTAACCATAGCCGAAGGAAAATTATTCTGAGTGCCCTGTCAAGTGCCATTTTGGAGGGATAAAAATGGGGTAAAAATGCAATTTTGCTAGTTGTAAAAACATTCTGTATTATAGGGCCTGAAAATAATGTAAAGGAGATTTTTCAGAAGTGTTTCTATTTTTTCTTGTAAGGTTAGGATGATACTTTGTCGTGATATAGTTACTTTTGTGACATTACTTCGCAGTTTGGCTTGATGACCTTTGAAAATAACGCAAAAAATGAATTTTTGCAGCCTAAAAATTTCCCCAAAATGGCCAAAACACATAATGGCTCCCAAAGTCCTTTCATCCCACAAAGTTTTAAAAAATTCGACATTTTGAGCGTGGACACTTATATGAAGTATTTACACGAAATGACTCTTAAATAGAATCAGCGTAGAAAAATTCCCTTTCCTGCCCCTTATGTTCATTGCTGTTAAAGGTATAAAGTGTATCTTTTGCATTCTTTGTTCGTTTGAAGCAACAAAAGTGCTCAAAATCTAAAGACTGGTACTTAACAACTAATCTTATGAAGATTTTAGCTCTGTGATTGCTGTACATTCCGAGAAAACAATAGTTTATGATCTTGGTTTCAGTTCAAAAGTTGCAGAGTTATGCGCCCAAAATCAGCGTCCGGGACGCGAGTTTTTTCTCCCAAACGACGCTATGGCGTTTTGGACTTAACTTTCTAAAACATGAGAAGAAAATACAAAATTAGAAAAAAAATGAATTGGACCGTTTTGAAATTCGGACTTTATTTCCCATTGAAAAAATCCTCCGAAGCCTCAGGTTAGAAAGAAAAAAATCGGGTGCAAAACCGTGTTAACTCGCAACCTCACGGTGCAAAATCACGACTCTGTATCGACCGAACTATCGCAGTGCTCGCCAAAACATAGGGAAAAATAATTATATACCTGCGTACGTATCATAAAAGTATCGTAGAGGGCGCTAAATAACCATATATGTGGATGTCGTTTGGGAAAAGACAATTCGCGTCCGGGACACGTTCCATTTAGCCGATTGCAGCTATACCAAAAGTCATGCACAAGAGCCGACGAATAATAGTGTACAAGCATTACATTCACTGTGTGGACTTCCGAACAAAAGAGGTCCACATAAACCAGTTTCAGATACGTTGTGTGGACTTGCCCACGTCCACACAAGGTTTCCCCCTCTCTGGAAAACAAGTTTAGAGGCATTTGGGGGTAAGGTTTATCGCAAAATGAGGAGAAACACTCAAAGAGTCATGGTAAGACATTTGGGTTGAGAGAGTTTTCACAGTGTGAGTAAAATGATTTTGTTCACAGGTTTTTTGTAACTACACGAAAACAAAGGAATGTCCACACTATACAGGTGTGCGACTTGTCAACGCTTGCACGCTCCCATTCACGGCTTGGCCGAATTAAAAACGAACTACTAGCGGAAATTTCCAAAAGTGCGTCTTCAGCAGACGCATCTTTGGAAATGGCCTTCTTTTATTGTTTTCTTTAAAATGACAGCACGCCAGAAAGAATAATTTCACAGGGAGTCTAGTGCCATTACTATCTTTCAACCAAATCTGCTTTTCAACAATAATTTTGTCGGTTACTTTTCGGACAGCTGCAAATGATATACTTTACCTTCAAGGCACGGATGTGGGTGTGGGAGTTTAGCCTCGAATTTAAGCCACAATATCACTGCGCTTTGAGCTATATTGATCAAAATGCTAGAGCATTGTAAAATTCGTGCAGCTCGGGACTTTATATAATCCGATTTTGGAACAGAAAACACCATAGTCGATCAACATCAGAAATATCGGTGACAGGTATACGTGTATAATCATATGCGGCGCCTCTTTAACTGATTTTGCGCTCAAAATTGTCTAACTGAGCTTTCAGCTTTCTTTCCTTGAAAACTACAGTTTTTATATCTTTTCACACTGACACTATTCACTCATCCCTTTTGCAATATTGCATAACAATGTGTTTCCACCTCTGATTCGTTCGCAAGCCTAGCAACATGCAATATACAAATGACGGTAAGTCACAATGGATTTTTTTTTACAGCAGCTCTAGAGAGAAGTGCTGTATGTGACTCCCCATCAATGAGACACGCTGTAATACAACACCGGCCTCTCGCGCGCGAGGCCTTGGCCCGATATAGATGATATCTTCTGACATTCAACGCTCAGAAAATAGAGTCTGCAAACAGCAATATCTCTCCAGATAAATTCATGGAAATGTCATGAAGTCCTTTTTCATCTTGATTTTTGTATCTGCCTTTATAATGCTCTCCATATAGTGCCCGCCGGATTCGTTTTTTTTTTAACTCAGCGAGTTAATAATGGAATCACTCAAACCCTTTAGACGCCGAGGCCATTGTATTTGTCGAATGTCAGATTCACTATATGCACGGCAGAATTCCAATATTGTTGCAGTCTGATCTGGTTTATCAGGAGTAGATCTTTTTTTTATTCGCATGTGGGACAAACGGTGTAGTTCAGTTTCTTTCGTAACTTGACGATGCAGATAACAAAATAACAACGTCGGTACGGTATACTGCCATCAATGTAAGTCACGCAAATAGACAGCTACGTCACATATCGTTAGTAACAGGCGACCGATGAGGACGATACTGTTTTTTCTGCTCCTCTCGATCCATTTTTGGCTGAAGTGAATTTTCTCTTCACGAATATTAACGAAAGTAGGTTTGTGATTTTTTTTCTCTTGATTTACGGTGTAGTTACGCCCAGTGGACATTGACAACTAGGACTTATGTTATCAGCTCCATTCGTTTTATCTGCATTCGGAGCAGAACACAATTTTTAATCGCCGATCTGATGTGCATCAAACAGTAAAGCCAACTTTGAAGGTCTCCTACCAAACCACAATACAGCTAAAACTATTGGTCAGTGTGGTAACTATATTCACGGATAGGATTTTGTCTGGAAACGTTCAGAAATCTTGTTGGAAGTTCGCAGTAACTAGAAAGCATAATCCAACATTTTCACAAGTTTGGAGTTGCCATCTCGGAACTTGAACGCAAACCTTCGGTTTGAGGACATTATACGTCACGGTGTCTCTGCTTCGACATTGGTGTCATGTCACCTGACAGAAGGGTCAACAGATTGTAAGGAGACGGTACCTTAGAGGTTCCCCATACGCTTCTCAGTGGCAATCGCGAAGTTTGTAAAGGTCAACCCAAAGCAGAGGACACTTTACTGCAGACAGTTTGAGGTTTCGTGCAGCTGCTGGTGGAGGCGATTGTGTTTGTCAAAAAGACACCTTTAGCTCGGAATCTAAGATGGCCACGTCGACTATGGTAACGACTGTCTGGGCGTATACGAGGCGAAGGCATCGATCCACCGTCCATCCCCCAAGTGGTATGAGTATGAAATTGTATCTCATAGACGAGTCCTGGCATGTTAGGACTGGACACCCACGGCCCCCTTCAATGGAGACACCATCGTGTACACTAACAAAACAACTGATGGATTATCAGAAGGAAAGCTAGCACAATGATTTCTTCATTGAAGATAGAGGGGCCTCCGTGATATTATTGATAGGTCTACTTTGATATTTCACCGTAAGCCGGCAATCGCCTCTAAAGGCTTCTAATATTGATCATCGGATAAGTTTATAGGCCCCTTTTAATTAACAGAAACTACTGGCTGACTGTGTTTTGTTTTCCATTTCGTATTATTTCAATTTTCAGCCGACACATCACCAACAAAGCAGCGGTAATTCATCGTTATTTTGGTTTTATTTATGAATCTCCCCGCCCCGCTACGCATATTTTCGATAAACAATGTTTAAAAGTCGTAATATGTCTACAAACAACTGGTAAGAACAAAATATCTGTTGTATTGATTGGAGCAACTCCTTTTATGTCTTTTCGCGGGGTTGTATAACCAACAGAAAATCCCACGGTTTAGGCCTATGCGTACATAGCATATTACTGCGAAGAGAATGTACATAAATAGAGACTTTATTGAAATCACATGTTTTTGCTGTCACACTTTTACAAAACATTGTAAAAAAAGTTTTTAAAATGGTATTTTTTTGTGCTGGTATATTTCCATGTGTTATAGGTTTTTATAAGTTGTAATTATTGATTCATAAATACCTCAGACAGTTTAGCTATTCCTATTGGTCGAGAGCCCGTCACGTGGCCGGTCTAAAACGGATGATAAAGACATGACTAGCTGGTCTTAAACAAGTTTCCAGTGTCACATAAAATGTGGACTCCTAAAAATCCAGTGCCTCTTACCATTTCATCGGTTGAACGTTCACAATCCTCACGTAGGCGTGCGCAACACTACCAGCGATTCAGAATTTTATAGTTCTAAATTCAAAACGCAACGCCCCAGGTGCGTTCTGCGCGACATCGCGCAGAACATGCTACGCGCGCGTCAATCTCCATAAAAGGGTTGTTTACATCTTACTCGCCAGCTGAACACTCCATTATTTTGATAGAGGGATGTTTCAAAAAGCATGAAGTGAACTTATTGAACAAAACCGGGATTTTTTGAACGAATTATTTGATTTTGTTTTACCGAAAAGGTAATTATGAATGGGAATTAATGTGTGCTCGGCCTCCGGCTCGGGTAATTATCAGCACCCAGACTCTAAGCGGTCTTAAACAGAGTGATAAAAACCTCCAGAGCACACATTTATTCCCTTAATAAATATAGTCTCGCTTTTTGGCAAGAGTTTATTGCAACCCTAGACTGAAAGCATATAGGCCTATGCGTAACTTGTTTCCATGGCATATTACTGAGAAGGGAATATAAAGAAATATAGCCTTTATTGAAATCAGATGTTTTTGCTGCCACACTTTACAAAGCATTGTGAAAATGTGTTGTAACTGGTTGTTTACACAATTGTGCCGGCCACAATTTATATTTTCTTGTGTCATCACTAAAACTTTACAACATCCGAGTCTTCGTTCCTTGTCTTCTCACGATTTAGGTCATTTCACAGGTTGTCCAATAGGTAACCATGCATCGTGTTGATTACAAAATAGTGTATTTTATCATTAATTAAGTATAACTTTGACAGGAGTTAAGATGTAACGCTAAATGCTGCAACTTGCCCTGAAATCTGGAAGTGGTTCAAACCTGTTTACAGCTTAAACCGCTAGCTTGAGAGGTCTCTTTCGATAAAGGGGGAAAGAATGGTGTTTTTGAAATTGGAATTTCCTTATTCTTCATGGACAATTGTCTCTGCACAAAGGGTGTCCTCCCGAAATGGTGGCGTCTTTGCATGGGATAAGTTTGATCTGACAGCTGTAGTCATTGGTTGACAACCATGAGTAACCTCTTAATCTCGTTAACACTTCAATTGAAGCTTCGATGCCGATGTTCTGCCTCATTTGATTGGGAGGTCACTTTATTCATTTCCGATGATTGATCTGTTTTGCATTAGCGTGTTGATACCTATGGGAATTCAGTTTGATCCTGCCAGAGATTCTCCCAATCGTACAGATGTTGACTAGTATGATGAATATCTTAACACACTTTGTACACAAGGCATACTCTAATGCCCTAGAATACAGTGAACTATTGTAAGACGTGCGAGGGTGCAATGTTGAACCTGAAGACACATTTTAATGTAATTTATCACTTTTCTTTCATCGTGATATCTTTCATCACGTCTGTATACTTTCTGAATATATATAGTTTGTAAATATTGCTTGTCACTTCATATCTCACGGTCGGTCGTGGGTACGTGTGAATGGCTGGGATCGGTAAACAATCTTTCAGGACATCACTGCGCATGACACAATCAGTGTGGTACCTGTTACATTGAGCTGTGGCTTGTTTGTTAAGACACGGGCCTCAGGGATGTACTTTGTTTGTTTTTCTTCACACTTGTTGGGTCATTAAGCACTACGCCTGCTGACCGTGCTCAAAACGTATCAAATTGACCATAGTCATAAATTAAGTTGATTTGTAATGTGACTCGAATTGACTCGAGTCGACTCGACTCGACTACACACTGTGACTCGACTCGACTCGATCTTCTTGACCTAATGACTCGACTCGACTCGAGTCACTTATTTATAATGATCGACTCGAGTCACAAAAATCAGTGACTCGTTACAACTCTTCTTCTGAATGTGATATGATAATAGTGTCGGAATGTGAGGTATATGGACCAGGGTATGGACATGGAATATAATACTACCTTCTTATAGTTCCCTAAAGATAACCAACCAAAGTGTATAGGAAGTCATCATTGAGATCGCGGCCATCTCTAGATAATTGCATTGCTTCACGTACGGTCTGTGATGCAGCATAATCATGCAATTTCATTTCAGTCCACTTTGTAATGCATATCGCAAATTCGCAAAGCCCAAGGCCGTAACGCAGCACAAAGGAAAGGGCAAGATTAGAAGAGAAAAAGGAAGGGTACTGGAGAAAAAACATAGTTGAAATCTAATTGCATGCTTTTTGCACGGCAAGATTTTGCTGTGAGGAAGGAAGTTGAAATACAGATTGAGGTACCTATTACGCAGCGTACATGCATGCGTAACAGTGCTGACTTTAATGGAGCAGACAATTTTCATTTTTTTTTAAAAAGATGTCGGGGATTACAACGGAGAAGAGGGGGGATATAAGAGACGAGGGGAAACTTAACAACACCAAAACGTAATACGGAAGATTAAACATCATACAGTATTTCCAAAAAGTGTCCGTCTGACTGTTTTTGAAAAAACTGCGAAACCATGAAGGCAATTCTGAACATTTTTTTATGCAGATACTCTATATCCTTGGCCTAAACCCCCTATAAGTTTCATTTAATTTCCCTCACGCCTCACTGCACAATGGTCAATTGACCACAAAGCATTTTGGACACTGTGACCAAGTTCCTTGCCTTAATCAATTTCAGTGTTGTGTTACGAAAGCTGTGTAAAATCCTGGATGTTGTGAAAAAAGGCTGATGTGGTTTGGGATTGAAATCATTTGCCCTTGAGCATTAAACTGAAGTCTTGCCATGATGACTGATAGCCAGGCAAATGATTCCAATCCCAAACCCTAGCCCTTTTCACAACATGAAGGATTTTACTCTGCTTACATCAGCTTACATAACAAAGCATTGAAATTGATTAAGAAGGCAAGGAATTTGGTCACAGTGTCCGAAAGGTTGTTGTGATCAGTGGACAATTAAGTAGTGACGCGTGAGGGTTGAGGTCAAGGATAAGATTATCTGCACAATAAAAAAAATGACTTCATGGTTTCGTAGTTATTACAAAATAGTCAGACAGACACTTTTGGGGGACATATTGTACATTCAGGTGCTTTTGGCGTGTTGTAAGTCGATTCCATCACAAGTCTGCATTAGGAAACGTGTGTACATCGCACGCCCTATAACACGTTCAGTTACAAGTAAAAGAGGATGAACAATGAACAAAAAATGCTGGTGACTAGACTCGGGGCTTGATGGTTCGTGATGGGCTTGTAAGGACTTGTGATGGACTGACCACACCTCTCGCTTTTTGCGATTTGCAATGCTGTCAACTATACAAGAGTGCTTTATTGTGTGTCATTGTTATCAATATGTTTTCCATCAGATTTGAACATTGGCGGCAACATGGCCAACAGGGAACCCGACCGTCGCGTCAATTTCCCTGCCGCGGAGCAAGTGGGAACAGACGAACAGGAGGAACAAGGGGACAGTACCGAGGAGGAGAGACGACGAAATGAGGTAGGCCAGACCCGTGCGCTGGGGAGCAGGTGGAGTCTGAGGGTTTAGACCCCCCATACTGCTCGTCGATGAGCTCAGTTCGTTTGTCTTGCGTTGCCTCATGATGTAGGAGGACGCATAATGATTCTGCCAAAGTGCCTGCGACGCGGTGGATGCTGTGTGCGTGGGTATTAACCATGTGGCCTGTGACGTCATGCAATCATCTTTTGCATGTATTTGGCCCACCATACTAAACAGTATTATATCAACACTTAAACCACAGTCCAAGAGATAAAAATGCTGGGCAGAAGAGAACCATTCCCTGAAAAATTGCATCACATGACCACAACATCCAATGTCGTAAACAAAATGTCACATGGTCTATAGCCTGCATGTGTTTATGAGATGAAAAGGTCACATTAATTACATACACATGTATGTAGTTTTAGGTAACCTTGTGATTGCATGCACGGTTTTCTTTATGTTAATAAATCAAACAATGCAGCGGAGCTCTATGTAAAGGGCAAACTGGTTTTCATTGTTAGAACGTACGTGTGTAGGCCCTATACCATTTGGTTTCACACCAGAGACGCCTCGGCATTTGTTTTAACAAAATGCGAAAAGTAAAAGGGCCTACGTCGTGTTTGTTTGTTTTTTGGAAAAATCGATACTTATTTATATGTCTTGTGTGATATCAAAGGGGTATCATCGTGTGAATTATGGAGGGAAATGAAACGAAATTATAGATTGTGAAAATCCCCTTTAAATTTGTACTTCAGTTAAATACTAGCGGCGGCCATTCGGTTTTTTTTTTGGGGGGGGACCATCTGCTTGCAAATTCGAAAAAAGGGGCGGGGGCTGGACACCATCTGACTATAGAATGCGTTGTTTCACGATGTATATGTGTGGATACATATATTCATGTCCAATTTCAGTTAATAGGGTGCACAAGCAAACTTTCGTCTAACAGCTATAAAGTCATTAATAATCCCACTTATTAGGGGAGGGGACAACGCCATTGGCGACATGTCCACCCTACATCCCCTCCTACCCCCCCCCCCTAGATCGCGGCCCAAATACGCATTTTGCGGGGTAATGTGTTTGCGTTGCTTTAATACACATCGAGCATTTTTTTTTTGGGTATTAATTCAGGATCCGTATAGTGTCGCTATTAGTGTCTGAGTATTATTCTTTTCCGTTTCACGAGTAATAATGATTGGGATTATCAAAATGTCAATGACTAAACAAATTGGTGATTTGGACGTTCAGACTTAAACGCTTAACAGTCCCACTACAGCGTTACCTAGCTACCGTTCGGCCGCCTACCAGTCCCTTCAGAGGTTCAAAATGGCAGACGTTTCCATGTCGGCGAATTCTTTCATTTCTATCAATCATTTACGAATTCGGTTCGCGTGTATTCAGACTTAATGACATAATGTGTATAATCTTTAACCTAATTACACTGTTAACACGATTTAAGTGGCCTTCGCTTATAGGACTCTGTTACCTTGTTTGAACAGCGACCTCTGTTGATTACACATGGATTACAAAGGTTGCTTTAATTTCCCTTACGCATTTTTGTGTGTGAAGGAAACGAAGACTTCGCAAAGCATTGTTGGTATCTTTCTAGCATGATCAATGAACTGCGCCCGTTAGTGGGTACGAGCACGTTTTTTGTGTGGAATTTTGGAAACTTTGACTTTAACTCGGAAAGTGCATTTGCAAGCATGAGATCTGAAGATGACATCTTCAAAACCGACTAATCTTGATGAAAATACCCTCTGCAGCTGTCAATAGAGGTCATCTAATAGCATTATGCATACACCAACCAAGGCTCTATCAATTGCGTTGATTGTGTTGGAAGGCTCAGAAGGTCATCACAGGACACTTAGCAATTAGGAAAACAGGTCATTATTCCAGTGGTCACTATTGATCGTTACCATTAAATGGTAGTTCTTGGGTTGAGATCGTGTCATATTTTGTTTGTATTGACGCAACGATTTTTGAGGCCTAGCCTTCATGGTCCGTAACGATATTTTGTCTAAAGCTTAGTAAAGACAGAAGCAATTATAATACATGTACGACCACTGTTGTGGAAAATCTTTACGCTGCTCCTTGTAATAATCTCAAGTCCTCTCTTTGCAAAAATAGTATTTTCATTCTCGTTGAAAGGGTGACATTAGCCTTGGGGAAACATCATCAAAACATGCAGTGTTATCTTATTAAGTTTACAAGATTCTTATTTCATGAAATCAGGGATATTAATCTTGTTGCTTTTTTTCCGACCAATATTTTTACTATTCCTAGTTTATTATTCCTGTTTTTAATCAATTCGCGTCGCAGAATTAGTTCCCTGTTATATTAATACATAAGGGAAAACCGTGAATAACAAATATCAGAGAATGTTTCAAGCGGGTTATCGAACACAAGGACTAAAAACAACACTACATTTCTTCCCCAAAGTCATTGAACAAACAAGCGGCACACGTGAACCACGTTAAGTTGTATTGAATATGCTTATCCCTTTTATTTAAAACGTAGGACCTCACTGAAAGATATCACTGTCTTCGGAATTATGCACTAACTTGTTTTACATCTGTAAATGTCAAAAATCATTCGGGATTAGGTTTACCTTAATCGCGGACTTTCTACTCCTTTCCAGACTTTCTATCAAGCACGGAAAAGACAGATCAGAGAATATTTTGAGGTAAGTGGATTTCCTTCGTTTCTTTTTTTTTTTATGCATAATTCTGTATCAAGTATATAATGTAAAGGTAGAGTAGATCATTTGCAGCTTTCCAAAAAGAAGCCCCCAAAATTATTTTAAAAAGCTTACTTGGTTTAAAGACGGGGATGACAATGACCTGCGTCAAGTAATGCATTTTTGGAAATTTCCGTTAGTAGTTGGTTCGTAATTTGGTGAATCCGTGAATGGGTGCGAACAAGCATTGACGCGACGCACACACGCGCGCGGTTGCTTTTAGTCATAGGTTCAATGCGTGACATCGCGAAGCTGCAATCGGCTGAATAAGAACGTGTCCCGGACGCTGATTTCGGGCGCCATTCAAAACACGGCAACTTTTGAATTGTAATCGAGATCCTAGAATATTGTTTTCTCGGAATATACAGCATTTAAACTTCATCAGTGAGTTGTTAACCACCAGTCTTTAGATTTTGAGTACCTTGATTGCTTCAAACGAAAACAATTCACAAAATGACAAATGAACTAGCCTACCTTTAAGCACTTTTCATAATTATTCACACTGACAACAGTTCTTTTGACATCGTTATTATATTATGACTCACATGTATATCCAGAGAAAAGTAAGCCTTGCTTGTATATACTCCCTCTATTCACAGTAAGTAAATGTTAACGGGTACCGCGTGTTGACATTCCGACCAATATGACGAACCCAATATATATTTATTGTACACTGTTGTATGCACAATGTGATTTTCTCTTTCTTTTTTCCTTTCTTTTTTTGGCTCTCTTTATACAAATTTGTGTATCATACACTCAACCACAAAAGAACGTCCCCTCTTAATACTTTCCTGTGTAACTCAAAAACTACTATGCACATCTTGGTCAAATTACGACTTATCAGTACAGAAATTCGTTAGCAATCCAGCCATACTTTTTGTTTGGCCCAAAACAGTGATAATGTGTACACAATTATGCAATTTATGACGAATGGTACCGGGAAAAAGTTGCACTTTTGTATACGTGCAAGGTGAGTGTGAACCACATCTTGCAAAAGTGCGACTGTTTTCGGTACCATTTGTCATTATTTGCATATATTCGTACACAATATCACTGTTTTGGGCCAAATTAGGAGTACGGCTGGATTGCTAAGGAATTTCTGTACTGATTAGTCGTTATTTTGAGCGAGAGGTGCTCAGTAGTTTTTGAGTTAGACAAAAAAGTAATGGAAGGGGGACTTTCTTTTTTGGTTGAGTGTATCAGTCGATATCACATTGCATGATTCGTTACACTGTCGCTCTTAATTCAGCTCGATCCAGTGTGTGTAGTCGGATTCAGGTCTGATCGGTTTACAATATCATGATATTCCCGCTGCCTTTCAATATATTCTGCTGAGAATGAACTGAACTCACCGCTGAACTCACGAACACTGTCACATGCAACCCTCTTAACACTTGAAACCCGGTTTCCTTCAGCGGGCACAGCCTGGTTACTCTCTGTAGTGGTGTGGTAAACACGTATCATTTTACCAAAGAATTGGTTCAGTCTCTGCCTCCGGCTTCGTTCCCAGCTCATGAAAATAGGGGCCACTAATTCCCAAATCACAATCTACAATTGGCCTCTTATTTATCATTTTATCTCTAAACACACAAGAAATGGACTGAACCCGTGTCTCGATCCCTCAATGTCAGGGGACTAATAATAATGTTTTCACGAAATTGGAGCGTGAAGCCAAAGCCAGATACGGGCCAATATTGCGTGAATGTCTTCAAAGTTACACAGTAACTGTGCTGCGTGAGAGCTTACCAAACATACAAAGTGCCTTGTACATGCATTATTCGATCAGCCCACATAATCAACAAGAATCGATGTTCGTGATGTAAATGGGGTAATGTATTTTTACGTCCCATTTCCATGCGCGCCTGTCGTCTGGACGCTCAAAACCGACCAAGAAGAAAAAAGGGGGTCATCAAAAAATACGTGATTTCATTGCCCAGAAATTAATTATTGCTGCGTCAAGATACCACGTCGCATAGGCTTCCGTTTCCCCAATCCATAGGCCTATATCAGGCATTTGGGAGAGATAAAATGAGTATCAAGATGTAAACCAGGTCTCACTCCCACGTATGTGCCTTTTGACGAATGTCCTATCGTATTGCTCACTACACTTGTTTCCGAGCCATGCTGTCAAACCACGGTCCTTTCACCATCCCTGATTAATAAAAGCTTGTCACTAGTGGTGTGTAAACTAAACACCGGGGCCGGCTGCAATATAGGTCAAGTGCCGTGCACTACATGTAAATGCAAAGCTTCGCCCGTCGCACTCGCTCTCAGGGAGTGGGCGATCGAACACAGTGGCCGTCAGATTACATTTAGGTAATACCAAGTAAGTAGTCAATCGATTTGACAGCAGGCACGTGGTTGGAATATAATATTCTGGCAGCCTCAGATTTGTAGTAGACTTTGCAGACTATAGAGGGCGCTGTAAGGCCTACTCACTCAAGCGGGAAGGTAAGGCACTTGAATTTCGGTGGTTCACGTGCACCTCACTAAAATTTCAATTTATCAAAACGGATTAAAAAAAGTGACTTCTTTGTTATGATCTTCTGGACCCAACATATTTTGGCTACATGTATATCGCCATGAGACAGATAATGATGCCGAAGCTGTGACGAATTAGAATGGTACATTGGTGAATGACCCTGCATTATTGGTCAACTTCTCGAATAGAATTCAACAATGATGCCCAAACATGTTTTGAAATGATTAAGAATCGCTCTATCGAATGTGTACGAAGCAAGTGTTGAAGTAATCGGGAAATGTTTTTTAAAAATGACTAGAACTTAATAAAACTCAAGACCGTACGACATACTACCTTCTTGAAGTTATGAACATATTATATTTGCTGCAACCAATATTCGATTATTATATAAACTTTATTCTACATTATTCCACATAGCCCGTGTTAAACCGAATGATTTTATTTAACAAGCACTTTGAAACCTTGAAAAATAGTCACACATCACTCAAAGTTCTTCCATGGCAAATGTCATGGAGCTATTAATTAGTCAGAAAACACCGCTTAGCATAATTTCTTTGTTCTAAGCAAAAATGGGTGGGAACCAGTCACAGGAGCTATACATCAAGCGGGATGTCTTAGTTGGTAACCTATATTTGCTGTGCAAACACACTCTGTGCTCTTCAGATTTCCCGGCAGGTACCAGGGAGGTAGTAAATCTGTTGGCCAGCTTGGTCACCGTCTGATATCGGTTTTCTCTGCGAACTCAGTCGATCATTAAATCCCATTTATTAAACAAATTATGATACAAATTTCATACAAGCTGTAATTACCTGAAAAGTTTTATTTGAACTGATTATTCTTTCCATTGCATCAAAACATAAAAATCAATTAAACCATTTTCATTCATCGCTCCAATAACAGTCTTTTGATTCGCCAGCTAAACCAACCGTCTTCCGAAATCTTGCCAGGAGAATATACAATAATCTTTTTAATATACATGTTTCCCGGCTAATACACCAATTTAAGAAATGTACGCAAAGGCAGCTTTAAAGGCCGCGTCTTCCCACAATCAAATGAACAATTTAGGAAAGGTATGTACAATTAAAATTTATGACAACGCAATTACCAACCACATAACAATATAACCAAAGAATGTGGAAATGATATGAAAATATGACCAAAAAATGTATACACGGATTCAAAACCATTTTAATGCTGAATAAGATTACATAATGACTATCAAGCAAAAATTGACGAGGAAAATGCTTGGTTATCAATAATTAATTATGCAAGCCGCTGTCATTGGTTACGTAATTCGTATGTCTCTCTTGTGCTGTTTGAATTTTCAGTGGATAAATTGATTGCATTTCCCCCGTACCTGTGCGGAAATGGAAGCCTCGAGCTTAAATCGTTATTCCAAGCAGTCAGGCGAAATATGAGGAAATTCTAAATTGAAATGTTGCCGAAAACGAATACGAGTGCCTGACAGTAACGGATCGAGGTGGGAGGTGTTGTGCTGGGGGGGGGGGGTGTTACGGGGCAGCACTGCCCCCCCCCCCCCCCCCCCCCATCGTTCAGCCGCTGAGTAATGTTATGATACTAGTAAATTGGGCCAAAGAATAAATGGAATGCTAAAGTTCCTACATATATTCTCAATTAACCTTAACATGCTGGAGAAAGCATCGTACATTTTCTGACTTTTCCCTGAGCGTGCCCGGACCCCCAAGCAGAACGTGCCTTGGCCACGCCTTCATTCAACCCCCACTATTTATATCTAACCTCCTCCTCCCTTTCTATTTTCTGAAAGTTACATCCCTCTCAATCTGATTCCAAAAATGAACCGCGGGAGAAACTGTATATGAACAAATTCGCTATAAAATTAATGCACAAAAAACTTTTTAATGCCAACCTGGCGAATTCGGACTGGAAAACATTATTAATGGTATACAATATTTGCAAACATCAAAAAACAAACTACCAAATTAGTATGAAATACTTTAACTTGATTAATGAAAAGTTAATAAGCGGTTGTCCAAATAATGTTATGGTCGATTTGGTAAAGTTTGACAAATCGTATTGAAATAAAAAAATTATATAAAAAGTGGAACGCCACTCAGTTCAAAAGTTATAGTGCAAACTAATCATCCAAATGTTGACCCTCGTAATTTAATCGCTAGTAATTTAATATTCGTGTTGACGTCACATTTAGTTTTACATATTTGGACAGTGGGTTCATCTTTATACCAGGTTTCATCTTCAGCCAATGATCCAATTCAAAGAAATTGGGTTGTTTTGATTTTGAGGCTTATGTTTGTAATTTCAATTCACTTAACCTTGACCTTCCGGAAACCCAAGAGGTGTATAGGTCAAGCAACTTCGCGTACCCAAAGTGCGAACACGGTTGTTTATTTTGTTCATGAGTTATAAATGAATGAAACTTGTCAGTTTTTTAACAGAAATCGGGTGTAATTTGATACCCGATGACGTCATCGTGACGTCACAGTTATATGCACACCTTGGGATCAGGGTTGGTATTTGTTCAAAGTTTCAAGTTTGGAAGAAAAGCCGCGGGGAGTTATTGCAGGGGAAAAAAGGAAGAAGGGGAGAAAGATTAATTCGAACAATTTTAATAGGTGACCGGGTGGTACCAAATCACCCAATAAATGACCTCTCCGCGACTTGGTACCCTCTTGCATTCGATTGAGCATTGCATTGTGATTCGCTCTTTCCATGTAATATATACAACCAACCATGTAATATACACACGAGTATACATAATGATTTAAACGTTTTTGAAATACATATTCTTTAAAAATCCGCCTTCACCAAAACTAACGGAGGAGAAAGACAGCCTTGTCACCAAAACAAAGTTAACTTGTGCCCCTCATGGCACATGGAGGTATCGAAGTCAAAGCTAATCTTTCAGGTTCTCTTGACTCCGTAGATCACCATAAACTCGGAGGGCTTTTTGAGACAGCCATCCTCGGTGCATCCATACTCATTAAGGGCCCACTGCCACAGGGTCTTCAGGCACTCCTCCTGGTGAGATGAACCAACTTGGTTTACTTCATCCAGAGCATCAAGTAATACCACTGAAAGAGAGGATACCGATGCTCATATGAATGAACATTTACCAAACCACCTTGTCTTTTTGTAGCAGGTTCTATATAAGAACGAAAATAATCAAGACATTTACTTGAGGGGGCTTCAACCCTCGAACCCCTGATTACCGTTCCAGCGTTCTACTAAAATGTCTTTGTTCAAGGTGCGCTAGTTAGAAGCTATATAAACCCGTATCTTGTGCACATTTACCTACTGACACTGACGTCACAGCTTTACCAAATTAGTGTGATTGAATTGTGGCGATTGCTTTTGTTTTGGCTTTTGTATTCACACAACATTTTAGCGATCGTGGTATCGTGAAAAAAAAATGTTATGAACATTTTAAGCAAGGCCACTACACGCGATATCCCAGCAAAGGTTTGGGTCCTCCGCCGCGATAACCCACCGCCGCGATAACCCATCGCCGCGAGATGGCGCTGTCACGACCAACCAATATCGCCCATACACGGACTTTTCGGTAGCAACGTCTAGGGCATCTCCTATTGGTTGTGTAATGCGCGCGCACCGGTTTGGCCACAGTGCTGCAGTGAATATGTTTGTGGTGTAAATCGAGGACCCGAGAAACGCCTCTTCGGATTAGGACACCCATCCACAAGTATCAAAGTGAGGACAGACCACGATTGAAAAAAAACATGTACAAAATCAATGAGAGGTGTAGCAAACAGTCTAAGTACAATCACAAACATTAAGCCTCTGTCTGTGTGTCTTTGGCGTCAATGTCTTTTTCTCTCTTTTTTCGTGAAAGACTTAACACTACATATCCCTTACCAGTGTGTTTGCTTTTTGTCTAAACGATTAAAATGTGTGATCAAATGAGGCAATAACACACTTACGTTTGGCCTTTTTCTCTGCCAGACCGAAATCAATCCGCTGAGTTTTGCAGGACAGTTCAGACCAATCACAGATGCCTTGGAAGAACTCCTCTGCTTGTTCCTCGGTGTGGTTCCACAGGGTCACATTCGACTTCTTATATACAAAAACGTACAATGAAGTGGTGCACATATCTCAAATGGTATCAAACAATCTCTCTCAAATTCATATGCAAAAATCGTTTCAAACTAGCAAGATTTATTCCATCTGTTTTGAGACCTTGACAATTGGCGTAACTGGCGGATTCACGGGGGGGGGAGTAATAGCAACCCCCAATAAAAAAAAATGCCGGCTCTTTTTTATGTTTTTTTTTAAATATTTTTATTAAACCATAATACGAGTGAAGATGAGAGTTTAACATGATGCTGCAACTTCCCATCGCCTTTCCCTCCATAAAGTATTTGAATATTAACATACAAAATTGAATAGAAAAGGGTGGGACAGCGCCCTCTAGTGTGGAACAAATTCTTGAGGTCAACGAAACCATACCTTAACTCGCTGCCCCCATTCCGGATGATCCTCGATAACTTTAGCTGCCCCTCCAAAGAAGTTGAAGTCGTTGTTGGGAATGACGCACAGCAACTGCCCGCCGGGTTTTAGACATCCCACCATGTTTCTCAGGACGAGAGGGACATTCGGGTAGAACATGACGCGGACGATGCTGACCACTTGGCTGAAAGACTCTCCCCAATTGGCCAAGTGGGGGCTCCCTTCCCCTAGGTCATCCTGCAGGTATTCCACGTTGTCAGCTGGGCGGTCGCTTTTCCCGATCTCGAGGAGAGTAGGGTCCAAATCAATAACTATAGAGAAATCAGAGGACAATAAAAAATGTGATTGGTGAAATGTATGTGTGGATATACATGCACTATTTTAACCCCCCCCCCCCCCCTCCAAAACGTATTATGTTCAGGCACAGGTTCAAGATGTATGTTCAGGGTTTATGCTTGGGTTACGTCATTATGACGTCACACCCATTTTCATCTAAAGCACATCCCGGCTTAGGTACATACCAAGTTACAACCAAATCGGACCTGCAGATATAGGCCAAAGAAAAATGCACATTCAGTGTGGCGTCACATGACGTTTAATGACGTCATCAATACGTCACTTACATATTCATCCGTAGCACATCCCAGTCTAGTACATACCAACTTATAACCAAATCGGACCTAAAGTTCTGCAGATGTAGGTGACGTCACATTTAATGTGACGTCACCTGTCATGCGGTAACTTCATCATGACGTCACTACAATTTACATCTATATTCACATCCCCGTTCAGGTATATACCAAGTTTTACCCCAATCGGACCTGTAGTTCTGGAGATATAGGCCTTAAAACAATGCACCTTTATTGTGACGTCACGTGTCTGGTGATGACGTCATGGTGACGTCAATGCTCGGCACACAGCGGGAGGTGCTGGTCTATCAAAGTGTGTGCAAAGTATAGAGGTAATCGGTTTGATTTTAGTACCCAAAGTGCCTTGCACCATGAAAACGTGTACAAATGTTATTGGGTATGGCTGAAAAAGAAGGGGGAGGGAGTTTAACGAAAACAAAGGCTGTTTATGCAAGTTGCCGAAACAGCTAATAACGTCAGGTTGGTTGTAACGGCCTCGATAGATCAAACATGTCGAAATGAACTGTTCGTTCTTGCCTTCGCAAGAATACCAGTAAAACTTGATTTAGCTGATATCCAGACATGAATGAGTCAACACCAAGGACCGGTAAGTTTGTACTTAAGGAAAAGAAAAGATGGATATGTGTGATAACACATGACTCATGTGAATAGTATTTCTCTTTGTTTTCAAAAGTCAAAATTCCGTGGGAAACATCTTCCATTAAATGCGTTTAATCTGTTTCATATTTTGAACTTGGAAGAATGAACTTGGTCCAGATTTGGCATGGGACTCGCATTTGACAGACTGACTTGCGGTGCTGCGTTATCAATGGCGAACCACGTGACGCCCTTGGGCCGCAAAATATTGGTCAAATGTGCAGAAAAAAAAGTAGCCCCTGCCTGCTGACACATGTACTTGTTCCTTAGTTGTGTGGACTACACACGAGTTGTCCTATTGTCTTTTTTGGGCCCGAAGACGCTGATCTGATACACGATGCCCTGTGGAGACATGGGTACAATAGGGAACACAATATTGTATTCGTCACCACATGGCAATTTCTATAGGTGAATGCCCACAAGGTTATCACGAAATAGCTATATGGATTTTACTCAAATTCTAGGAATTTCCAAGGTGTGTTAATTCGTCTCAAATTATGTTAGGGATATTAAGTCCGAATTTCAGCCCATAAAATTAATTCTGGTTAAAAAAGGAGCATTTTGAACCAAATTTCAGATTCTAAAATGTTAGTGCACGAGAACAAAGAAATGTATCCACAAGGATACATATTCCAGAATGTGTGTGGGGACAGCAAAAAGTCCCCATAACTCGTTCATCATTTGCCTTACAATATCAAACTTCCCCATAACCCAATGACGGCCCGCCCACCTCCCCGTGACATCTAATCCACCCCGGCCCCACCCTCAAAGCCAGACCTGGATCCGCCCCTGTATCATTACCTACAACCGAGTTGGCTCTGGTGGCCAAAATCACCGCCTCGTCACCATAGCCGACGTACAGGACATGGTCGTCCGGTGAGCAGTTCAGCTTGTCGAAGTGTTCCATAGCCAACCTGTGCGTAATTGACCGCACCCCTTCCTTGGAATGTTTCACGTGGAGTGAAACAACGAAGGCAAGCTTGGTCTTTGTCACTCTATCCATGTTCAGTTTCCCGAAACTTCAGATTAGAAGACGGTAACTGTATTGAGAAAGTGAAAACATTTCACAAGACGTGTCTTTTCTAATTACAGTCTTGAACTGCCCGGCATGGTCTGATTTCACCGTGTCAAATTCTTGAGCTCGTAGAAACAAAACGGTAAACAAAAAATCCCAATCAAACTCACAGACAATATAGTTAAATGCTTAGTCTTCAATTTAAGATATTTCCCAAGCCTTTTCAAGTCAATATTTTTCACCAAACAAAATTTAACATTTCAGATTCACCCTTAAGGTCGAATCGCCCATTATAGACATATTTCGGCCTATATTTAGCAATTGTTGACTGCTGTGATGTGGGATGTGACGTCTTGAACACCCGAGGTGCGCTTCGCCTTGGGTGCTATGCGTCCCGAAACGTCATATCTTACATCACAGCAACCAACAATTGTTTTGTTATACCTCTATCTTGGATTCTTTGGATTTTGATGTAAAAATCACGAAAACAAACAGTAAACACAATAATCATGACAATCGAACGTCAACTCACATGCATGTCACATGCTCGAAACAGCTGATCGTCTGCTAGTTCGCTGCTTCCATCTTAGTGAAACCAAGGTGAAAAGAGCGTGGGTGCCAGCGACACAAGCGTTTTACACCGTACGTAGCGTATGTACAAAGCCTGAGGGATATCACGTACGTAGCATCCCGTTCTAGGCCAATGAAAATACAGTATTCAAGACAGAAGTGTAACAATTTAGCATATACCTTAGGGCCCAATAGGGGAACGGGATGGAGGCCGTGGACTTTGCCCCGACCCTACCTCACCCCCTATGCGCACCCCCCTCCCCCGCAAACAAACATGAGCTTGGCTGCGCCGACCAGAAAATGAGAGGATGGGTGCCCCCTGCGAACTGAACCCCAGTTCCTCTACTGCATGCCTCCCATTATCGAAGATCAAAAACATAGATCGAAAGTAAATATTTAAAAACAAATTGTATAATTTGCTTAGTAATATTCACAGCTTTAATATAAGGCACATAGGCCTACTTCTAATTTAAATTCATTATCTTTTAAATAATGTACCATAAAATTGTATGCAGGCTAATTTCAATTAACTAGCGGCACACGACTTCCAAAATTTGCAAAGTTCTGAGAACAGAACGAAAGACAAATTTCGCCATATCGTTCATTCGAAAAGAACAGCATTAATTTACACTTTACTTGACACAGTCATATAAAAGCCTCCCATATTTTTAATAGCAAATTTATACCACTGACTGTATAAGTAGCCCGCATATTTTCAGATAAGCACAACAAGGCCAAGGCTAGTATTAAAGCTGCTCGCTGCTCCCAAAGTGCAGTAAACTAGTTTCAGTTGATTCAGGCTATACTCACTAGAATTCTTCATGCATGCTATGGCGCGCCTACTAAAGAGGGCCGGATGAAACCAATTCGCTGACTGCTCTATGGTTGCAGACCAGTAAATAAATTTTCATAGACCCCAATGACAAATGCCCCCACTTCAGAAATTCAGGAAAAAATACTCAAAACTCTCTGAGGTGTTCAAGACGTTCATCAAATTAAAGCTTATATAATCTTTCATTTTCTGTTAAATTTTCTGACGGTTAACCAATGACTTTTGGGAGAAAATTCCATCTAAAGATAATCAACTCTAAGGGCAGTCTTGAAGCCCATCGCCATTTTGAAAATGGACGCCTACGCTCCATTACAAATAAAGCCATTTAAGGGCCTAATCATCATCCACATTTCACACAAATACGAGCTCTCAGTCCTCTGCATGGCTGCCAATTTTTTTTATTTTTTTTTTTACAAATCATCAAGTTTACAGCCTTCAAAGTGCTCTATACTGACGAATTTCAGGGCATGCAAATCATGATTCGGCCGGCGTAGACAATTTCGTACCGATTTACTGGTCTGCACCCCTATGTTCCGACACCCCTAGTCTATGTTCCGACAACCCGCACATAAAAGTGGGTTACTCCCATTTAGGGTTAGGGTTAGGGATTGGAACATAGGTGTGTAACCGCCAATTCATTGGCGTTCTAGGTAATCCTTTTTCAAACTTCTGGACCAAGGCGATAAGCAAGTCCAGTTCCTTAGTGACAAGTCTAATTCCTCAGTGGGGAACTCATACACACTGAGGGGAACCATTAGAAATTGAGGGTACGGGATACGTGTGTCACTATCCAGCTCGTAAGATCAAATAGGCGGGTAGGCCCTATATCACCATTTTTTACTAAACAGATATTAAATAGCTACTACTCACGACCACGTTCTTCAAACAGGACGCAGAAATGTGCAAGAGAAACGGGGGTAGAATACTGTGTGTATACAGCGGGACGAAGAAAAACACCCACCTTTCTGTGATGTCTGTACAGCACTATGCACAAGTCAAAGCTGAAGCAGATATTTGGGACTGCGCTTAGGCCTATATCTGATCTGATACTTCGGACTGCGCTGGTATTTCGCACTGCGCTTTCCATCCACAAGGTCAGAGCAAAATTCTTGATCCGGAACCGCGTTGCCAATCCATCATTGTATTGAATGTTGTTCATTGAAATTTGCATTTTCAACAAATCGACCTTGCCTTTCGTGCTTCTGGATCACAAGGTGACTTTTGTCTATTATTAAAGGGATCCAACAAGCAGTGCAATTTTAACGGAATCCACGAAATGCATTTTTTTCCCGTCCAAATGATCCAAACGTCTTTTCAGCAGTCCGTATTACTATTCTAACGTTTTTTCATGCTGATGCATTTCAATATTCATGAGCAAAACAGAGGTGTCGACTACCTTAGGCAGAAGCAGTTTAGGGAAAACCACGACGAATATTAGAACTGCACGTTGGACTACACATTTTTGTAGGAAGGAATTTTGCGTCGGGGAGATGTAACTTATTTCGTATTGGGTTTTGTGCCTTCACCGACGTGCAGGGTGGCTCAAAAAAAAAGGACACCCACATTTGACTGCAATTTTCACCTATTTTTGAAAATTATTTTTAACTGTCGATTAGTAGCTATTAAAGAACTGGCCTTTAAGAAAATGTGACGAAAAAATCGTTGCATTTGCACATTTTGTCGTTGAGCTATGCTAATTTGAACATTCATGTGCGAAACCTGTTTGTCCACGGAGGTATACATTCCCTTCGCTTGACTGAGCTCAGCTATCAGAGCTTTATTTGAAAGGGCATTGTTATGAACCACCCTGTATATTATACACACTGCAAATACTCAGTATTGTCAGAGGGTTTGACTTATTAACTCTGGAGTAGTCACTACTTTTTATTCATACGAAATAAAACAAGTGCTAATAGTCTATCTAGCAGGGGCTTAAAAGGTAAACAGTTAATACTTGCAGTTTTTACCTACATCGTGCGAAGCGCTAAGCAGGCCTTGTAATGCTGTCGAGGGTCCAGTTTTCTTCATCGTTCCCATGACGCACTATACGGCGTGGTCATCGCTAATCTGGATCACTAACCCGCACATGCCCCAACCCCGTTATCCGAACGTACACGATATTTTGAGTCTGCGAACAAAATCCATCCAATGAGAGCCATGAAACTTAGAGGTGACCAGCGCGCATTGTAGCTATCATTATGCGCGTGTATTACGTGTCTTAAAGGTATAGTCGCATCATTTGTAATTTGTGCATTTTGTTCGTTTGAAGCAACAAACGTGCTCAAAATCTAAAGAAGGGTGCTTAACAAGTAACCTGATTAAGTTTCAGCTCAGCTTCAGCTGTATATTCCGAGAAAAACAGCATTCTAGGATCTCAATTTCAAATCAAAAGTTGCTGAATCATGTTTTGAATTGCTTGAATTCAGCGTCCAAGACGCGTTCTCACTGAGCCGATTGCAGCTATACGCGATGTCGCGCACTGATCCGACGAATTATAGCAACCGCGCGCGTGTGTGCATCGTGCCAATGCTTGCGCGCGCTTCGCCGAATAACAAAACGAACTACTAATGTCAATTTTCCTACGGTGCATCTAAAGACGCACCGTTGGAAAGGCCTTCTTTCGTTGGTTACTTCAAAATGACAGCTTGCCAGAAAGAATAATTTCACAGGGAGTTTAGTCCCCTTACTATGTTTCAACCAAGTATGTTTTTCAACAATAATTACGCCAGTTAGTTTTCGGATGGCTGCAAAATTTAATGATGGACTATACCTTTAATACGTTGATCACGGATTCTACAGAGAAGGAACGTCCCGACAAACTCGGCGCGCGGTGACTACCAAATTTGCAGGGCTCTGCGCTCGAAATGGTGTCAAATTCTGTCAAGCCTGCTAAAAAAATTTATTATTCATGATCCCACATTTTTGGCCTTTTTTTATGGAATTTAATAATTGATAACTACATAACTATATTAACACCAATCACCATATCTTTAGCTTGAAAATGAACTATGAAATTTTGCATTTGTTTTTTTTTTGTCTCGGTGCGGGATCACATCTTTCGCAAACTTTTTGATGAAAGCCTTTTAAAAAAGATGTTTGGGTAAACGGTGAATCTTTTTAAAAAAAATAAAGAATACAATTATTAATAAAAAATATGAATTACCATAGAAAAAATTCAACAACAGAATTTAAACAAACACTTGTTTTCTTACACGCACAAAATCTAAAAAGTTAAAAAAAAGAATTCCACCAACTGGAAAAAAACGGTTTTTGTATCAAAGACAAATGTAATGTGAAAACTAGATTTACTTATGTTTGTGTACAAACATACGGCTGTTTTGGTAACTTGTTATTGTATGTTTATGTCATGTAAGACTGATAGTACAACATGTGCGGTAGAGTGATCAGGACAAATACATTTCTCTAGATATTGGTCTTCAAAATAGTCATTTTTAATATGTTGTCACATGTCACATGATGACGTCATCGTGACGTCACTTAAATTGTTATCTATAACACATCCCGGTTTTGGTACATACCAAGGTTCAACTTTCAACCTAATCAAACCTGTTGTTCTGTAGATATATATGTGCCTTCAAAATATGCACTTTTAATATGACGTCAATTAAATTAGGTTTTTGCCCTTCACCGACGTTTAAACACTGTATACTCAGTGTGTTACCTCCCGAGTGAAAGTTGGAAAAAATCACTCGGGTGGGACTCGAACCCACGACCTCCTGCTTTCTAGTGCAGATGTCTTACCACTCGACCACCGAGCTAGCGGGATCGGTTGGCTGGTTCGAATCTGATGTACATAGCAGCGGGTACCGCATAAACTATTATAAGATGGAATTTTGCGTCGGGGTGATATAAATCAAATTAGGTTTTTGCCCTTCACCGACGTTTAAACACTGTATACTCAGTGTGTTACCTCCCGAGTGAAAGTTGGAAAAATTCACGCGGGTGGGACTCGAACCCACGATCTCCTGCTTTCTAGTGCAGATGTCTTACCACTCGACCACCGAGCTAACGGGATCGGTTAGCTGGTTCGAATCTGATGTACATAGCAGCGGGTACCGCATAAACTATTATAAGATGGAATTTTGCGTCGGGGTGATATAAATCAAATTAGGGTTTTACCCTTCACCGACGTTTTTTTTCTCCAACTTTCACTCGGGAGGTAACACACTGAGTATACAGTGTTTAAACTAATTAGAGGCAATTCAAAATTAGAGGCAATTCAAAATGGAAATGTTGTCGTAAGAATTTGCGTGTCTGAAATCGAAATTGCGTGCCTGAGTGTTTGTATTTTCAATACAAACAGGTCAAGCGGCTTCACGTACTCAAAGTACGAACTTTTGTACATGAGTTAAAAATGAATAAAAGCCTGATGACGTCATCGTGACGTGAAAGTAATATCGACACCTTGAGATCAGGGTTGGTATTTGTTCAAAGTTTCAAGTTTGGAAGAAAATTTGCGGAGAATTATTGTCAAGGGGAAAAAAGAGAGAATTGAAGAAAGAAGATTAATTCGAACGATTTGAACTCGGTGACCAAATCACCCAATAAATGGCCTCTTCGTGACACGGTATCATCTGACATTAATTGAGCATTGCATTGTGAATCGCTTCTAATCCCAACCTTAAATATATACACGAATAGACATATAGATTAAAAAGTCTCTAAAATATCTTTTAAAAATCCGCCTTCACCAAAACCAACCGGAGGAGAAAGACAGCCTTGTCACCAATACAAAGTAAACTTGTGCCCCTCATGGCACATGGAGGTATCGAAGTCAAAGCGAATCTCTCAGGTTCTCTTGACTCCGTAGATCACCATATACTCGGAGGGCTTTTTGAGGCAGCCATCCTCGGTGCATCCATACTCATTGAGGGCCCACTGCCAAAGGGCTTTAAGGCATTCCTCCTGGTGAGATGAACCCACTTGATCCAGAGTATCAAGTAAAATCACTATAGAAGAGAGGAGACAGGTACTCCAATGAATAAACACTGACCGAGTAAACTTTTTTTTTTTTAATGTTGTATAATAACAACAAAAACATCAAGAAGATGATAATGCAAATTGTTATTCATTAGCAAAAGTGTAATGTCATTTCAGGCAGAAACCTCATTGTTACAGTTATTTCAGCACAGAAAGTTGCCAGAAAGTTGGATGTTTTGCTTTCCTGCATTTTCTTTCCCAGTACATGGCAGTAAGCCAATTTAAAACATGTTTTCACAAACGTTTTTAATGAGGAAATTGGGTTCAGAATTTGAACAGAAAACTGAACGGTGTCTTATTCCTGATATGACATCACAGCAACAGCGCCCTCAGTTGTCCAGAAAAGCATTGACAATTTGAAATGTTTAAAGAAGTACACTTTGTTCAAAGGAATTAACTTGAAACAGATGTCAAATAGTTTCATACATTCAAAAGGGGTAGAAAATTGTACGAAAAATTATGTTCCTTAGAAATATTCATTTCATGGACCCATAAAGCTGAGCAAAGAAATTGACTAGGGCGAGGTTGCAACCCTCGACTTCCGGATTACCGTTCCAGCGCTCTACCACGGCTGAGCTATCTACCATTCTGTTTACATTTACATTTTCATTTACATTTATTTCATTTTTCGGGATACATTTGTTACAACAATTACAAACAATAACATTAAATGCTCAGAAATACACAAGAACATTTTAGACAAAACATACACATTATAATATTTACCCAGCTCCCGCTGGATCACCCCCAAAAGAAACATGGTTTCTGTCGAGGGGCTCTCCAACTGATTAAATATGACACACTAAAACAATGTTAATAAATTAAAAATACGTAAACCTATAGAGAAATAAAACAATAAAAGTCCCTAAATGAATAAAACTATGTTGAAGGTGCGCTAGTTAGAAGTCATTAATCCATAACTTGTGCACAATTTACCTTTTGACACTGACGTCACAGCTTTACCAAATTAGATGTGATTGAATTGTGGTGATTGTTTTTAAGCTCTGGCTTCTACATGTCACTTTGTGTTCGGTCTGTCCCCGAAAACTGACCCAAAGTACTGCGTTCCACATGTACGTGTCATCGGCGTCGCATTTCTCATCAGAGCTTATTGTGCACTCGCACTTCACAAACGCCTCTTCGGATTTAGGGCACGTATGTGAAGCCATATCCTCAATTGCAAAACCGTGTACAAAATCAATGAGAGATGCAGCAGATCCCCTTCATAAACATTATGTGTTCAGCTTCTGTTTTACACTGCATATCCATTGCCAGCGTGTTTGCTTTTTGTCGTAACGATTGAAATGTGTGATCAAGTGGAGCAAATACACACTTACGTTTGGCCTTTTGCTCTGGCAGTCCGTGATAAACCCGCTGACTTTTGCAGGACAGTTCAGACCAGTCACAGATGCCTTGGAAGAACTCCTCTGCTTGTTCTTCGGTGTGGTTCCACAGGGTCAAATTCGACTTCTAACAAGTACAATGAACAGGTGCACACATCTAAAATGGTATCAAATAATCACTCTCAAATTCATGAACAGAAATTGTTTCGAACTAGCAAGATTTGTTCCATCTGTTTTTGAGACCTGGACAATTTCCAATTGGCGAAACTGGCGGATTCGTGAGGGGAGGGGGCAATAGCAATCCCCAATAAAATATTCGGTTTATTTTAATGTTATTTTGTTTAAAATTCAACCAGATATATCGAGTGAAGATGAGAGTTTAAACCATAATACCTTAACCCTCTGTCCCCATTCCGGATGATCCTCGATAACTTTGGCTGCCCCGCCAAAGAAGTTGAAGTCGTTATTGGGAATGACGCACAGCAACTGCCCGCCGGGTTTTAGACATCCCACCATGTTTCTCAGGACGAGAGGGACATTCGGGTAGAACATGACGCGGCCGATGCTGACCACTTGGCTGAAAGACTCTCCCCAATTGGCCAAGTGGGGGCTCCCTTCCCCTAGGTCATCCTGCAGGTATTCCACGTTGTCAGCTGGGCGGTCGCTTTTCCCGATCTCGAGGAGAGCAGGGTCCACATCAATAACTATAGAGAAATCAAAAGACAATAAAAAGAAAAAGTGTCGTTTGGTGAAATGTATGTGTGGATATACATGCACTTTATTTAGCCCCTCCTAAAAATATGTTTAGGCACGGGGATAATTTAGATGAAAGTCAGCTTGGTTGTAACAGCCTCAATAGAACACACGTTGCGAAATAAATTGTTCGTTCTCCCATTCGCAAGTATAGAAGTACAATTTGATTGGAGGGTGAAAGTTTGCAATTACTGGTCCTGATGTGTTGGCTGATATGACTATACCTCCCGATACGAAGCCTCGGGAAACGTCACAATAAGTCAACACAGACGACCAGTACGTTCGCACTACTTAAGGAAAACAAAGGATGGATTTTTGTGATAACACAATCAACACAAGTCAAAATTCCGTGGGAAATCTCTTCTATTGAATGTGTTTAATCTGTTTCATGTTTTGAACTTGGAATAATGAACTTGGTCTTAATTTGGCATCGTACTCGGTTACGGTGGACAGACTGACGTACGGTGCTGCGTTATCAATGGCGGATCAAGGGAGGGAGGGGGGTTGATAACCACCACCCCCCTGGGCCGCAAAATATAGGTCAATCTTGCAGAAAAAAAAAGTAGCACATGTCTTCTCACCTCCCCCGTGACATCTAACCCACCCCACCCCCTTGAGTCAAATCTGGATTCGCCCCTGTATCATTACCTACAACCGAGTTAACTCTGGTGGCCAAAATCACCGCCTCGTCGCCATAGCCGACGTACAGGACATGGTCGTCCGGTGAGCAGTTCAGCTTGTCGAAGTGTTCCATAGCCAACCTGTTCGTAGTTGACCGCACCCCTTCCTTGGAATGTTTCACGTGGAGCGAAACAACGAAGGCAAGCTTGGTCTTTACCACTCTATCCATGTTTAGACTCCCGGAACTTCAGATTAGAAGACGGTAACTGTATTGAGAAAGTGAAAACATTTCACAAGACGTGTCATGGTCTGACTTTTAATTGTTATATTGTTGCTAATAGCAACAATATAACACCATGCACCTATAGCACTGATAACTTTATGCCACCGTGTCAAATTCTTGAACTCGTAGAAACAAAATGGTAAAAACAAATCCCTTTAGACTTTGTTAAACTCACAGACTTTGTTAAATGCTTACTCTTCAATTTAAGATATTTCCCAGGCCTATATATTCAAGTCAATATTTTTTTTCTCCAAACAAAATTGAACATTTTAGATTCACCCTTATGGTCGAATCACCCATTAGGACATATTCCGGCCTATATTTTAGCATATACCCTAGGGCCCTTAGGGGGACTAGGTGGGGACCGTGGACTGCCCCAACCGTACCCCCTGTGAGCACACCCCCCCCCCCCCGGCAAAAATGAGCTTTTAACTCATTGCCCCCTGCGAACTGAACCCCCAGTTACTCCACTGCATGCATCCGATGATCGAAGATCAAAAACATAGATCGAAAGTAAATATTTAAAAACAAATTGTATAATTCGCTTACCTATACTCATAGCTTCAATATACGGTATATAGGCCCACTTCTAATTTAAATTCATTATCTTTTACATAATGTACCATAACATTATATGAAAGCTAATTTCAATTAATTAGCGGCACACGACCTCAAAAATTTGCAAAGTTCTGAGAACAGAACGAGATATTTTAAAGGGAATGTACAACATTTGCTTTTGCTGCAATTTTCAGAAATAAATGGATTTGGAGGATTAGTATGTTATAGCAAATATTGTTACACTAACTTGTTTCACGTTTTGGGTTTGTAGATGCTGTATAAACCAAGAAACCCAATCATGTTCTTGTAGTCTTGTTCCCTGATCCCACTTAAGATGAAACGGACCAATTTACAGACTTTGGGGATTTGTAAGATCAGAAAATCAGTCTAGCAGGCTTGTAGTCTTCACAGGTGTGTAATCAATTGCAAAGAAAATGCAGACGAACTAAATATGAAAAATTAGGAGCACTTTTTGAAAAAAGCCAGTTTTCTCCAACGGTAATCGGCCGACCAGCGTTGGAAGAATACAGCTTTTTTTGAAAATGTCAGCACACCAGGAGCCACAACTTTACAGGATGCTTTAGACTGTCATTCCCGAACAATCCAGTAAGATATTTTGTGATACTTGATCATTTCGTTTTTTGATGTTTGCAAATGTTGTATCTTCCCTTTAAAAAAAAAAATCGCCATATTGTTCTTTCGATAACAAAGCTTTAATTTACAGTTTCACTTGACAAATAAGTCCACCATATTTTTAATAGATAATTTATACCACTGACTGTATTAGTAGCCCGCATAATTTTCAGATAAGCACAACAAGGTCAAGCTTAGTATTAAAGCTGGTCCCAAAGTGCAGTAACTTAGTTTCAGTTGATTTAGAATGGCTATACTCACTAGAAGTCTTCATCGTGTGGCCTACACAAAACGGGCCGGATGTAGCCAATTCGGTGATTGCTCTATGTTCCGACACCCCTATGTTCCGATAGGCCGCACATAAAATTGTGCTACTCCCATTTAGGGTTAGGGTTAGGGTTAAAGTTAGGGATTGGAACATGTGTGTGTCGGAACATTGGTGTGTAACCGCTAATTCATTGGCGTTCTGGGTAATACTTTTTCAACCTTTTGGACCAAGGCAAGAGACATAAGCAAGTTCAGTTCCTTAATGACAAGTCTAGTTCCTTAGTGAGTCAGAGTCAACTCAGCTGAAAAAGGCAATTAAACTAATTTAATGGTATTTTAATTTGGAAAGCACAACGATTAATTGCTAGGTATTAAATGTACAATATGTGAAAGCATTGAAAAACGCAACTGCCTATAATAAGTAACAAGTTGATAAGTAAAAAAAAAAACATAGTATATCAAGCATGCTTCGAAATCGCTGTGCCCGGCGTGCTGTCATTTTCAATTTGTATATCATAATGATCTGGTTCGTACTGAACCATCGCTGTGAAAACGGCTTTTTTTCATTCTCAAAATGATATGCATGGGCGCAAAGCTACTTTTATATTGACCTTGTGTGTATGCTCGGTACACGCAAGAACACACCGGCCGGCCTGTGACATGGATTTCATGTGGGACAAAATTCAGTGAGCTGCAATTTGAAAATTAAAAACAAACAGCGTTCTATGTTGCTTTTCTATAACATGCGGAACGATGTTATGTGCTATAAATTATTGGCCCCGATTCACTGCATTTCATAATATTACGACCCCCAAAAAGTTGTGTATTACCTTCGAGTTAAAAAAGAATGGATATTAGAGGCCGAAATGTACGTCGTGTACGTAAAAATTATTGTAAAGGAATATTTGAAGAACCAACCAAAACGATTACAGTGCGCCGCGGTAGCGGTATATCAGTGTCACAAAATACATTTAGTTACCAAGACCCATGAATCATGAAAATAAAAAGGTTGTAATCAACTCGCCGCAAAATAATTTGACGGTGGCGATATTGGCTATATGAACGTTAACGGACAAGCAAACCTGTTAAGTCTGTTCTGAACGGGGGGGGGGGGGGTGTTCCCGTTCGAACATCCCAAGAATCTGGTATTATATGGAACTCTACACACTGATGGGGACCATTAGAAATGGTGGGTACAGGATGCGTATGCCACTATGCAGCTCGAAAGAACAAATAGGTGGTTAGGCCCCATATCACCATTTTGTGACTAAACAGATATTAAATATCTACTCACTACTATGTTCTTCAAACAGGACGCAGAAATGTGGTGCAAGAGAAACGGAGGTAGTATACTGTGTGATACAGCGGGACGAAGAAAAACACCCACTTTTCTGTTATGTCTGTACAGCACTATGCACAAGTACAAGCAAAATTCTTGATCCGGAACCGCGGGGTCAATCTATCATTGTATTGAATTTTTTCCATTGAAATTTGCATTTTCAACAAATCGACCTCGCCTTCCGTACTTCTGGATCACAAGGTGACTTTTGTCTATTATTAAAGGGATCCAACCAGCAGTACAATTTAATGGAATCCACAAAATGCATTTTTTTTCCCGCCCAAATGATCTGAAAGTCTTTTCAGCAGTCCCTGTTACTATTTTGCTTTTTTTTATGTTGATGCATTTACAAATTTTTGTAGGATGGAATTTTGTGTGGGGGAGATATAACTTTAATATTGGGTTTTGTTCCTTCACCGACGTATATTATACACACTGCATATACTTAGTGTTGTCCCAGGGCTTGCGAGATTAAATATGGAACAGTCACTACTTTTCATTTATACGAAAAAGGCTCAAACAAGTGCTAATAGTCCAGCAGAGGCTTAAAAGGTAAACAGTCAGTACTTGCAGTTTTAACCTACATCGTTCGAAGCACCAAGCATGCCTTGTAATGCTGTCGAGATTCCAATTTATTTCATTGTTCCTATATCGCGCACTATAAAACGGCGTGGCCAAGACTAATCCGGATCACTTTCTTCGCGCAGTATAGTTATATGCCCCAATCCCGTTTTCCGAACGTAAACATTTTGCACGCACTCGCGCCATGTAACAAAACCCGTCCAATGAGAGACAGCTTAAAGACATTTGTGGATACCGATGCCTCTGCAAACTACTAACGAGAACAACCCCCTCCCCTTTTTGTAAATGGTATTACTTTATACAGCTTTTGGATTTCCCATGTTTCCCTGAACCCGCTATAGTCGCCACTGATCTCGTTCGCCTTCCTTGCAAAAGGATTGTGGGAAGCCCATTTCCTACAGCAATGAACGTTATTTTGCGCGCACCGGCGAGACTGCCAACGAAATCCGTCCAATGAGAGCACAAAGAAAATTTGAATTGACCAGCGCGCACAGGGGACGGATGTAATTTGGTACTTTGTACTTGGTGATTGTAGCTACCATTGTGCACGTGTACGTGTAGGCTATTACGTGTCTTTACGTTGATTATAGCGTGACTCGCATTAACTCGTGCATAAATTTGACGCGACTGAGTTACAAAATTCAGTGACTCGATACAACTGTGCTTGCATGAAGGTACGAGTTAATTGATACGGTACGCGAATTTACGATCGTACTGTGTCATCTCGTACATAATGTCTTACGAGTTGTACGAGTTCGCATGTTTCCATCACCACTGTCGTCCACCGTGATTTACAGTCACAAAACTGGCAAGGTTTAGCCCCCCCCCGTGATTTTTTTTGTTTTATCGCTTGTTGGATTTCTTTTTCACATAGGCATCATCTCGTAATACTTTCAAGCCATTTGGTGCTTCATTGGTATTCATGGGCTACAGATTGTAATATAAGCAAATGCTTAAGCCTATCAGTAAGTTAAGCAAACGTTATTTTTTTATTCATACGACGTTTGAATAATAACTAGCAATGCTAGGAAGTATAGGCAAAAGCAAAAGCATTTACATGCAGGCCTAAAGTGCAGTAAAAGCTTTGAGAAGCAACAATGCTTGAATCCGTATTAATACATGTGTTACAACTGATAATGTAGTAACCAACTGATAATGTATCACCAACCGATAATGTCACACAAATTGACCGATAATGTATCACTAACCGATAATGTAACAGAATTTGACCGATAGTGTAGTAAATGTTACTACACTATCGGTCAATATTTGCTACATTATCGGGTAAGACCGATAATGTAACAACAATCGACTGATAGTGTAGTACATTTTTACTACACTATCGGTCAATTTCTGTTACATTATCGGGTAGTGATACAGTATCGGTCAATTTCTGTTACATTATCGGTTAGTGATACAGTATCGGTCAATTTGTGTGACATTATCGGTTGGTGATACATTATCCGTTGGTTACTACATTATCAGTTGTAACAACATGTAAATATTTTCTTTTACTGTGAAGCATTGCGGCAGCATGGTAGCAAGATGCTTCTTACTGTTGGATTGATTGATCAGTACAGTAGTGAATCTGATTCTGAAAACCAGCTCAATGATGAATAATGTTCTGTTGACAGCATCACAGCTAAACTAACATAAAACTTTAGTCGCCAAAATGCCAAGATTAATAAGTCTTTTATTTTGAAAATTAAAAATCCTAAGGAAGAATAATAAATAAAATTAAGATTCCAAAAATAAAGATGTTTTGACGGAACAAGCCGGATATTTTGAAATTTGAATAACAAGGCTAGATTCCTAGCAACGTTGGGCCCGACTCAACAGTTAACACTCACTAAATCATTGTCAGCAATTGTGTAGTTTGGAACCCCTCAATATTTGTGAATTTTACAGCATTTTTGTCCTTCCAAAATTACTTTTGTAACCTCAAGCAATCTTCTGCCATTCCGATTCGTAATAATCCTACTTGTGATAATTTTCAACAGTCTTAACACAATATTGATTTTCCTGTAGATTTGTGTTCGTTGTATGTGCTAAATGTCTTTCGAGTCTACGCGGTTACTATGTTTTATTCCAACCAAAAGAAATCTTTTTTTGTTCCTCTTCCGGCTTCTCCAACCCTCTGAAAAGGGGTTTTTGTTTTGGGGCACAAACAGATTCTCTTTGCGAGCAGACTATCTCCCGGTCTGTACATTATCAATACTGATTGTTGGGCGGGAACCAGCTTACCCCGCGAGTATGGAATTATTTTTTGGCAGCCAATAATTCGAATTTGTAAAGTAATAATGCAATAACTATTTAAAACATAAGCCGATTTTTCGGTCGTTGTCTCCTTCAAATTTAAATGAACAAATAGCAGTTCAGAAAGGCAGTCTATTTTTCGTGATGAAACTCGAAAAATAGCACGAGGAACCAACTTTAAAGGGCTTGGGATTGGAATGAAAGGGAGATTAATTGCCTGACCTTTTCTCTACCATTTCCTTCCAAAGTCCGGGTAGGACTTCAAACTCGCCTTTTAATACCACGATGTCATGTTGTCGCTTGTTAAAAATTTATCTTTTGTACTGGAGACCATTAACACCTGAAAATTGATACCTGTAAAGTCACGACCACCCAAATGCATTTCAAAGATTTTTTTCCCATTTTCGGATTCACATTTCATATTGAAAGTCGGCTATACAGGTGAACACATCATGGAGTTTTGTAAACAAGTGTGACGTACGCCATACATGTTCTTATACATTTATTGGAATTTTGTGATGTACACAGTATTTTTGTCCTGATTTCAGACTCGATTCGCAGAAGCTGATTTTGTCATCGACCCAGAGGGCGATAAGATCTATGTGTGGATGGTAAGATGATAATCATACTCCAAGGCCTAGATTACCACTAAACGTAGGCGTGATGTTCAATCTCTTTGTTGCGTACATGTTGACCTTCTACAATTGAATTTTGGCCGCTTAGTATATAATTCATTACTCGAAGAGAATTACCAACTTTGATTCGCAGTTCCAGTGTAGCAAATTTATTTCTCCAGCCTCTTCGTCAGACTTTCATGAGGAGTTCTCAAGAGATAACCACCAAGTAGAATTATTGTAGGTCGAATTCAATCGTCGTCTCTGTCCATAACATTAAATTTATAATTTGAAATTAGCCTATACATCTCGTTAAATCGCTTTAATGGGAACTTTTAAAAATGTCTCTTGTATAGGGTGCAAAATAATTTTAGGCTATACGCAGGGCCGGGATGGGTCTCATTTATAACATTCAAGGGCGGATCCAGAACACATTTTTTTTGGGGGGGGGGCCAAACAAAGTGGGTCCAAAAAATTACGGCGTGGGGTTCGGGGCCCGCTTAAGGGCCCCGAAATTTGTTTGGATTCTAGATGCTCTGTGGTGCGATCTGAGGCAATTTCTGACCACTTTGACCAATTTTGGTTGAGGAAAAGATGGTGGTGTACGCAGTGCCTGCCTTTTTTGCGACATCGCTTTAAAAAAAATTGGGTTCGGGTTTTTTTTTGGGGGGGGGGGGCAGGAATGGCCCCCGCCCCCCGATCCGCCCTTGATAAGATTCAGTTCAGATCTATTTTATTTATCGTGAACTTGTAAGTTGAGGGTCCAAGACTATGAATGTGCATTAGACCATCAATTTTTGCATTAAACCAAAAATTATGACTTTTCTTAAATTTGAATTTTTCATCAGTGCACAATGAAATAAAATCGTCTTAGTTTTTCCCTTTTTTTAAATTTCTTAATTATAGTATATGTTTACCTGTAGGCCTACAGTTGTTTCGCTTTGGATTAGATTATTGTCATGAATATCACCGTCCGTTTTCGGAGACGAAACCCCAAATATAGATTACAAGAAGGAGATGTTTACCAAGCCCCGGCCTTGTCAATGGTTCGGCTTCAGGTTCCAGCTTTTATACCAGTCAACTTGGTTAATTGCGGAACAACAAATAATACGAGCGAAACCGAGGTTTGAAAAATGGCCAAGGATACCATGAGACCCTTGGGTGTGGTAATTCGATTACGTTGTATCGTCTTTGCTCATTAGGGTCTGGTGACCTTTGCTGTTCTCTACAACGTGTGGATGATCATCCTACGGATAGCCTTCAGAGAGATGCGGGAGGAGGTACGGTATAAGACATAATTGGTTTCATCCAATTTATTAGGGTCAAAGTTCAAGACAATTAAATATTTCGATGAGACCATAAATGCCAGTATTTAGGGGAATTACGAACCTTCGACGCAGGGCTGTCCGATATACGAGCATCAATTCCAGAGAGATAATATTTTGAAACACCTATTCCCGTCCTCCGTGGCGATGTACGTCACCGTAAATTCTTTTTTTTTTTGGTCTCAGCCTCACCCCTATTTTTTTTTATCTATTACAGGATACGTCAATAATGTTGACCTGGTTATTAATGTATATCTTCTGTGATTTCTTGATCACGCTATCCCAATGTGTCGCCATTTTCTTCCCACCACAGATAGTCAACCGCCGGGTCTTTGGCACAATAGACTTTGCCAGTGACGTTGTCTTCTTCCTAGATATACTCGTCAACATCAGAATAGCGTTCCTTGACCAAGGATTGCTGGTGAGCACTTTCAAATTCTATCCATACCGGTCTGTTAATTAGACATGAACATCTCAGTGCTTCCCTCAACCAGTTCACGTCGGAGAACGTGATATTTAGCTGTTTTATACACGGGTACGGCTGACGGGTAAAGACGTCAAGATTGCCTGGACTCGCCTCCGGGAGACGTCTAAACACGCTAATCCCTCGTGCCTTTTGTACACACACAAAGTCCAGCAATTCTGTAGAGGCGGACCGCGTGTGACAATTTACGCTCCAGTGCGCACCCTGGAGTATTGAAACATGTAAGTTTTCGGCTAGAAATATCGTACAAATAGTGTTGAAATAACTTTTGCGAATCAGTATTTGTGGCATTTGGCTGTGTATCAGAAGTTGGCTAGAAAATTTTGCCTTTTGCGAAAATCGAAATTTTCAGCAAAAACAGTCCCGGCGCGAAGTGGTTAACTGACTGTGGTACTTGTGTTTACTTTGTTCCATTTTTGGATTTATTTTCAGGTTAAAGATCCTCGAAGATTGATAGCGTATTACAGGAAGTCGGTTCGATTTAAATTGGACATTTTGGCCATGATTCCCTTGGGCACAATGGCTCTGCTTTTAGGAGGTATTTTATGTTTATTTTATAGTTATTCCATATGTTTAGTTTCCTTCTGGTCAATATTACAACTGCAGTTACCACCATCACCACCGTCACCAATACATAACTATCACCCGATTTAATACCAGGCTAGTGTCACCCCCAACCTCGTCCCCAGGGTGTCGAGCAGTACGCTCCCACCACTACCTGCTCTCTCACCGTGGTATTGGATCATTTGCATGTGCAAAATTTTAAAACACATATGCAAATGAGGAATAGTCTGGTTCCTGCCCGTGCGTTACATAAGCGTTTGTTTTTGTATGCGGTGTCTGGGGTAAAAAGAGAATCAATTCGTCGCGTCGTGAGTTACGAAAACAGGATTGCTTTCGAATTTAAAATGTTACAATCTTATCCCGCCAAAATGCAGTATCACATTTCATATTAATATAAGCAAATTGGAAAGGAAAAGAGTATTTTGGAGAAGGCGTGGACGTTTTAATTACAATGATCGTGAAAACACGTAACGCACGTTAGAATAACAACACCAAGTACATGATATAAATCCATTACTAGCCAATTGCGGTATCAAATCAGGATACAGGAAGAAAGTTTCCTATCCAGGGCTTACTGTTGAAAACGAGGTTGGAAATGAAGTAAGCACTGGGGGCGAGGTTGGATACTGATATCGTTACTGTACAATTTGGTCTGTGCGCAAGTCCAGAGTGTGCCAAAAAAAAATGCAACATTCAGAAAACAAATATTTAAAACTGTTTCATGTTTGAATTTTATTTCAATAAAATAATATATTACATTAATGCCTGACTGACTTTCTCAACCCACTCTTTTTTTTTTACCCTATTCCATTTGGGTCCGTATATCCCAAAATATAATCAAGTGAAAGGGTGTAAGTTTTACTTGGGACACCTTCACCTGGACAAGCTGAATCTCAACATTGAATAGGCATTGACATCACTTACAAAAGAAGTGTGAACACATCACGGATCCGACACACAATGAACGACTCTGCCAAACTCTTGCTTACATGCGTGATAACCGCTCGTACAACTGTTCTACCTATGACATAACACCAGATTTCTATCAAAGTGTTTTTGGCCTTTCAACAATATAATATTATGTTTTGTCAATGTTCCACTTTTTGGCGCACTCTGTAGGCCTACATCAAAGATGACAAATCCCATTTGGAAAAAAAAAAGTATAATTACCTTGTTTATGTCGCCCACTAAAATAAACATTTGTGTTTCCACTGTCCTTCGTACCTATTCAGAATTGGCCGACAAAGATGTTTTCAACGTTCATTTTGATGTCGACAGTGGTAAGATTTTTAGTTATTTTTTAGTCACTGGATTCAGCGGGAAACATGATATTGTTTCTGATTTTTGTTTCATCTCAACATTGTATTCGTTTGATTAATGTAAAACGAAACCCAGTCGCTGGCGTGGTATTCGATGGTGGAGAGACATACTTATTTTGTAATTTCTTGAACGTTTTTCCAGAGGCCGTCGTTGAAAGTAACAAAACCAAAGCGAAAAAAAACCTTCAAAGTCCCATAAGTTAAGAAATCGAAGTCGCAATTGGTTAATGCTATACAGGGTGATGCAAAAAGAAGGAAACACACATTTAACAGCAATTTTCACCTACTTGTTCAGCATTTTCCACAAATTCAATTAAAAGGTAATAACAAATGTTACTCTAAACATAAGGGACGAAAACATGATTGGCAAATGCATATTTTGTCTCTGAGATATGGTAGTTTATAGATGTCATGTGCCAAACCTGTTTGTCCACGGACGGCTTTATTCCATCCGCTTGACTGAGCTCCGGAGCTTGATTTGAAGACAAAAAAAAACACCACTAGGCCAACACTATAGACACGTGGACAACAGCGATTTTGGTGACTTGTATTCAAATTAGCATGATATAACACTTGTCTTGCGATTTTTTAAGATTTCTTTTCAACACGTATGGCTGGGCAGCTGTACTTAACTATACATTATAAAAAAAAAAACCAATTCAAATAAGTTGAGTAAGTAGGTTAAAATTCCTGTCAAAAGTTGGTTTCCTTCTTTTTGCACCACCCTGTACCTTTCTTGATGCGCCTAACCGTGTTTACATGCCCGGTATATTTTCCCAGGATCTGTTATAGTATGCGCGAGATCATCCAAGCATTACTGACTGGCTTAAGAAAGACATAAAATCCTAGATTTTATTTATTCCCCATGCAGATAATATTCTGATTCCAGTGTTGAGACTTCCGCGCCTTCTCAAGTGGCATACCATGGAAACGTTTACATCAATGTGTGACACGTAGGTAGATTTAATGTTAATTGCACATTTGCCATATGAAAATCTTAACAAAACTGAAGTATGTTAAAGTGAATTATGTATTTTTATTTGTAACCTGCTTGGATGGGACGTGCATCGCACATTTATAAAAATGTACTAAAGAAAGAACCAGGACAGCCCCTCACCCACACAACCATGTTTACGGATACAGCGTGGACATTCCTTTGTCCTCGTGTAGTTAAGAAAAACCTGTGGAAAAAACTCCTTTTACTCACACTGTGAAAACTCTTTCAACCAAAGTTGTTTTTCTTCTATGATTCCCTTTGGCGTTTCTCTTCATTTTGCCGCTGATAAACCTAACCCCAAAATGCCTCTAAACCTGTTTTCCAGAGAGGGGGAAACACTGTGTGGACGTGGACAAGTCCACACAACGTCGCTGTTACATGGTTTACGTGGACATCTTTTGTTCGGAAGTCCACACAGTGAATGTAACGCTTGTACACTCATACATGTAAAGCACATTCAATCGCGGACCCCCTATAGATCTGGTGCACGGTACCCTGTGGAGACATGGGTATAATAGGGAACAAAAGATTGTCTACGTCACCACAAGGCAATATCTATAGGTGAATACGTGTCTTCAAGGTTATCACGAAATAGATACATGTATATGGATTTTACTCAAAAACTAGGAATTTCCAAAATGTGTTGATCGGTTGCAAATTGAAGTATTTTATGTAAGGGATATTAAGTCCGAATTTTGGCCCAGGAAATTAATTCTGGTTAAAATAGGAGCATCTTGAAACTAGATTTTGAAATTATTTTTTTTTTTAGACGAGAACAAAGAATTACTCCACAAGGATACACATTTCGGTGTGTGTGTCCCTCTTTTGTTTGTGCACGTACTTTTTAGGAAGAGCTTCCACATGTATTGTATGCGATGGTCAATTATTGTGGACCTTCCGGAATGGTGGACCCTATTGTTCGCAACAATACGAAACAAGACGTTCGGTATTTCTTTAAATTGTCTGCATTCTGTGTTTAAATCTGTCTGATTTGTACATTGCAGAGGACGGGAAGTCAGAGGAAGATAAAAAAGATGACGGGATATTTAATCTGTATTCCCTTGGTCATTCCTGCCGAAGGTCCCCTGTATATAATCATTAAGTGATTACTTCATTCACAATAAAATATATGTATATATATCAGAATTTCAGAAACCCTATACTGCGCACTATATGCTCCATATGGTACACGCAGATCTGAGCAAATTAGTTATACGCAAGGGTACACTGAGTCTGCCATAACCATGAACTAAAAATTATGGAGTTAATAAAAAAAACTGATATTCGGAATTGCATTGCACTGGCATCGTGTAAATTGTTTTCAGGGGCTTTTGATATGGGAGGCTAATCACGGGAAAGACAATTAGGATTAAAATGGACACAGAGTCAATTCTGAATGATATATACTAGGCACATGTTTATTTGACAGCTTTTTTACTTTTTCTGCTCATCATAGGAGAACAAGCAATCCCAATCGTGTGCGAGCCTTTAAACTCATCATGTACCTCGGAGTGATCATTCACTGGATCGGCTGTTTTTACTACATGCTGTCAGATGTGAGTTCCGCCCCCCCCCCCCCTTCAACTCGCCCCGCCCCTCCATTGCGTCAGCCCGAGTGTGGAACCAACTCCCTCTGGCTATCAAATCATCTCAATCCATCACAACATTTAAGACAAACATAAAATCTCACCTGTACAAACAAGCTTACCCTCACAACGCACAATCCTAACTTGACTTTCTCCTCAAGCGCCATGAGCGCCTTTTTAGGCGGATACCGGCGATTTACAAATGTTCGTTATTATTATTATTATTATTATTGCCTTGAATTTGGCTTCCTCACATGAAGAACCGTGATTCAAAACTAGTTTAATTGCCATACTGTTATGGAGGACGAAAACGTGGTCATCTGCTTTTCTGCTGCTGTGAAGAAAGAAAAACAGATTTCCAGCAGAGTGAGGCAAAGTAAAATCTGCTTTGCAGGTACCAGAAAAGCAGAAAAGTAGAGTTGGCTTAAACGACCAATCTGCTTTTTGGGTAGCAGGATAGCAGAAAAGCAGAAAACCCCGAACAATTTAACATTCGAAAACGTTAAAACTGTTTTTTTTTTCTATTATGACTGCACAAAAGCATGATGTCCACAGTAAGTTCTCCATAATACGCCCAACGCTCTTCTCAGTATGCTTAAAATTCGGCAGTGAACTCTTGACGTAACATAATAGATTTTAAAAGACAATGCCAAATGCAAAATCGCTATAAATAGCCCTAAAATACTCCCCCGGAGTACTTGCGGGTAATATTCTCTGCGAGTTGCAAGAGATTTTCCTCAAGGAATTATTCCATAGGACAATGTTTTGTCGTAACCACCGCAGAGATCTCCTGCAAGGCTGCATTTGTTAATGTATTAACTTGTAGTTTAGGAACGTGACATAGCCCTGTACAGGGTGACCCAAAAATGCAACCCTGAATCATTGGCCATTTTTCAAAAGCGTGATATGTGAATTTTTATGTTTTGGATATCAGAATGAAGCTGAGAGTTTTTTTCTTTCAAATACTGAAAAAAATCATGAAAACAGCATATTGGGTTGCTGAGAAGATGCCAATATTATGTAAAAGAAGTGATTTTTCATTCTTTCCAAAGGTGCTCCAAACAGTGAAACATGTTATGTTACTCTAAGCCCACTGTGCAGTTGTCTTTCATTTGTGCAATTCCTTTAAAATTTTGACATATTCATGATGCTGAAAAGGTTTAAAATAGAACTAAAAAGGATACCTGTTCGATGGAAAGTAACAAGGTTTTTCCATCAAATTCATTTGTACTCTTGTCATATTATGTACCGTGTTGTTTGTAAGGATTAGGACACAATGTGCTACATGCATTTCATGCACAAATAGGTACAGTGTAAATCCCTTAACTGTGGTAATGCCATTTGAATGGACCAATGAGTTGCGTTACAAAATTGGCATTTTCTCACCAATATTTTAATGATAGAAAAAAACTCTCAGCTTTAATCTGATATCAAAAACATAAAAAAATTCACAGATCTTTGAAAAAGGGAAAAACTTTCAGGGTTGAATTTTTGGGGTGACCCTGTACTTTAAAGTGAAGTTTATTTTTGACAACTCAGTTAAAATTCTTTTCTTAATGGACCGTTGACGTCTTATCTTTCTGTAAAAAAAAAAAAAAACAGGAAAAGGAAAAATCACTATCAGAGAGCTGGTCGTTTGTCAAAAAAAGAATTGTTCGTCCTTTTTTCAGGTTGAGAAGACTCCGATATTTTGTGTATTAAAAACGCATCACTTTAAACACACCTTATCAATAACAGTTGACAGTTTATATTCAATTTTTCAAATTTTTTGTGTGGGTTGCTCCATGTAAGTTGATAGCACCCCCTCTCTTTCGCCCTAGACACTCCTTTGCCTTTTTGCAACTCGCATGTCTGTAAAATTGTTTCAGATGTTGCTGTCTTTTCATATTTTTGTGTGATGCAGATGGAAGGTTTCGGTAGCAACGATTGGGTGTACCCGGCTGAGGAAGCATCACAGGGACTCTTGAGGTGGGTCAAGAACTCTCTTGATTTTCCTGTCCTAATTGCTTGGGCAAAATTCTTTAAACAAAATATTTCAGTATCAAAACAATACTTCACAGTTTCCCTAGTGGAGGCCTGAGGCTCGAGCTATGAGGCAGACGGTGACGTCAGAGATGATCCTGACGGAAGAGTTTTGCATTTTTTTTTTTGCTCATTTATCCATGTATATGGCAAATAATTCACGGGACGAATCATAATAATACAAAACTGTATCATTCGATACCTGTTATGTTTGTAGCTCTTTCCGATAATCTACATTTGCACTACATTTTTTAGAGTTTGAAATTCTTTTCCCAACAATTTTCCATTAGGCCAAAAAAAAATAGTCGGTCTCTGGTCAGACCGAATTCCGGAATTGATGCGGCGACGCGTTTTTTGTTTTTTGGGGGGGTGGCTTTTTTTTTTCAAGCTTGTATTGCACAGACAAGGTGGGTACTATTTTGCTTTTTTGTGTCATCATTATACATTGTTGTCCTCCATAATTTGCCTTGGTGCCCTTTATCATTTGTCTTGGTGCAATTTCCCCATTCCTTGGTGCTCCTTGGTATAACAATTTGAGGAGGCGCGGCAATAGAGGACGCTGTTGTAGCTTCCGTGTTAATTTGAAGAAGAAAAAAAGGTTGACGCGCATGATTAAAATCGACGAGCGAGCTGACCAGAGACCGAGTATTTTTTTTTTTTGGCCTTATATATATTTAATCATGGAAAAGTCACATCCCCCATCCACCATTATTTGTAGAATTTTTCAAAAACAATCAACAGAATTGACTCGCGCTACAATCATTATGATTTTGTTGACATCAAAACAAATAATCATTGCCCAGAAGAGACACAGTCAATATATTTTCGTCCCCAAAATGTTTCTGCGTTTTTTCAGAAAATATATCCTGTGCATCTATTGGTCAATGATGACCCTCACAACAATAGGCGAGACGGATCCACCGCACAACGACATTGTAAGTCTGCGGCATGATTTGAATGGCACGTTGGGTGGTAAGAGCTTGCCGTTGAGGGCGCTGTACTGATTCGGGGAGGAGTGGCCCCTCCTGTGTGTAAGAAGCATTACGATCTCGGTCCTCATATCACTGTGTTTGCCATCAAACTTGCGCCTGATACATGCGTTCATTATAAGGACACCTTCCAATCGTTCGATTTTACAAAGCCTTTTTCTGCAAAACATTACTAATACACACAAAAAGGTATATTGTTCACGCAAAAACACAAATGTAAGAATGAATGTGTACTCAAGCACATTACGGTGTTTTTCACTAGAGTATTCATAATTATATCGAGATCAAATTTAACGTAAACCCGTCGCTTCATAAACCATAACTGGGCAATGTCAGGTCTCAGCGAGGGTTAAGTTTGACGCGTAGTTGCTGGTTATTTTGAACAGCGCCCTCTGTGAGTTCTTACCACCCATTTCGTGTCATCGTGTTTCAGTGCTTTAGCTTTTCTCTACATTTTCTCCGCCCTTGTTTCTCTTGCCTCTGCTTAGTAAATACATACGGATTATGTACTGGTCTACGGTGACACTGACCACTATAGGAGGCACGGCAAACCCCGTCTGCAACATTGTAAGTAATGAGGACAGCCAAATAACTCACTGGGCAGCCAGAGGCTTGTTGGTACCCCCCCCCCCCATCCTCTCTCTATCCATATGACATTTCAACCTTATTGACCTGCTCGCTCGCACTGTATGTAAAAAACATCTCGTATTAATTATTACACATTTGCCACAAACAAACACAAATACAGAATACTTTTCATATCCTTTCGGATAACCCTTCTCACAAAAGTCCAAACGTAGTATCGCTAGATTTTTTGTGAAACTGTACAAAAAAAGCCAAAAGCAACAACGTAGACAAGATAGTTCAAAGTCGATGATGAAGGCTAATCGATGCTCTTTTTCTTGCTGTTTAAAATGTCTGCGGCACCATGCGACCTCACTCTTTTAATCAAAGTTTTATGATCCTATTAGGCATAATAATGTACTTACATACTGCTGGTACGCATTGAAAGTGCATGGAATACAAGACCGATGTTTTGGAGCAAAGGTTACTCAAAATATGGCCAATAAAGAAAAGAATACACTTGTACCGTGGCTGTTTCAGAGGAGCGTTTGTTACAAAATAAAAGAACATTGGATAACCAAATTAACCGACTTTGCAAATTTGAAAACATTATTTCTTCAAAATGCACTTTAGATTGTTTTCTTGAATTTAACGACCCCCTTTTCGTGTTTTGTTTTCAAGGAGTACGTGTTTACCGGAATTACTTTTCTTGTGGGTGTGTTTCTGTTTGCGGCTGTTGTGGGCAACGTTGGTGACGTCATCAGCAATATGAACGCAGCCAGGCAGGAGTTTACTACAAAGTAGGTGGCACACAATTATCATGAATAGCTGGCCAACAGGGGGCGTGCTCCAATCACATGTCATTTATGCAAATCAAAACTGTAAAGTGTTATCCATTGACAGTGTTGAAGGACACGGATCCAAGACTCGGACTCGAGTCGGACTCGAGTCACATTTTTTGTGACTCGGACTCGACTCGAGTCACATTGGAAAATGACTCGGACTCGGACTCGACCATGATGACTCGGACTCGAGCTTGGTGACTCGTTACTCGAGTCACGTATTTTCATCAAAAGAAAAGACATAACGGTGAGATGGTAAAAGATTATTGAGGAGTAATGTTTGGATGATAAAACATGGAGGGAAGGGATTGAGGAGTTTTTTTATGGATGGGAATTAAAAGGAAAACACATTTTGGGTCTAAACAACATGTACACACACAAGGTAAACTATAACGCTGGGATTTACTTAAAAGACAGAGTGGATGTTTAACAATATTTTTTTTTTTAATGTGATTAGTTTTGTGAACAACTAAAAACAATTAAGTGACTCGTGACTCGGACTTGAGGCTTGCGACTCGAGACTCGAGGCTTGTGACTCGAGACTCAGACTCGGACTCAAGGCTTACGACTCGAGACTCGGACTGTTCGGACTCGAGGCTTGTGACTCGAGACTCGCGGACTTGAGGCTTATGACTCGAGACTCGGACTCGGACTCGAAGCTTGTGACTCGTGACTCGGACTCGAGGCTTGTGACTCAAGACTCTGACTCGGACTCGAGGCTTGTGACTCAAGACTCGGACTCGGACTCAAGGCTTGTGACTCGAGACTCAGACTCGGACTCGAGGCTTGTGACTCGGGACTCGGACTCGAGGCTTGTGACTCGAGACTCGGACTCAAGGCTTGTGACTCGAGACTCAGACTCGGACTCGAGGCTTGTGACTCAGGACTCGGACTCGAGGCTTGTGACTCGAGACTCGGACTCGGACTAGAGGCTTGTGACTCGACTACAACACTGCCCATTGACAGACAAAGGGTACATAGACAGTAAAATAATGAGAATTTTTTTTTTAAATTTGGACTTGGAGCATGCGCATTACAGGAATTCTAGTCACGTGCGCGAAATGATCATTACAGGAAGAGACCTAATACACTAATAGGCAAATGCAGAAGTCTCCTGAAATCAGTTGCAAGGTATCCCGACGTCCTATTATTGAATGTCTTCTGCCGGCAAGTTATTGAAGGCATAAAGTCTGTTAGCCCATATTTTCAGTGGCCTTTTTTAGAGTTCTTGTCTTTATGAGTACAAAATATAAAAATTCAAGTTCCTTTAAAAACATGTATGCCCAGCATATTATACTCACCTGCTTTTAATTATAAAAATTATAAAAGTGTACTAACACAGTTTCATCCTTGCCTCTCTTTTGACAGAATGGATGCAATTAAGTTCTACATGAATCACCGTAAAGTGCCTGATGTTCTGCAAACCCGCGTCAAGAAATGGTCGGACTATGCCTGGTCCCGGTGAGTTGGACAAAGATTACAGAAATAGCCCCCTCACTCGGCAAAGCTATTTTTTATTTAATGTTCCTCTCGAAAACGTGTTCCATATGGGGCACTATTTTTCAAGGTATGTAACGGTAACATTACGGAGCCATTACATGGAGTACCACGTTGGTGATTGACCTGGTACCCGTCCCTTTGTCAAAAGCTGTGGGGAAACGGGGATTCTCTGAATCTGGAGGAGTCACTCAGTTGGTTATTAAAACAATAAAAATTCATTTTTGCCTTCCCCAAAATTTTGATCAGGAAAGGGGGGGGGGTGTCTTTCGCCAACTTGTGATTTTTGGTCAGTTGTCTGCATGTCGGCATGCGCTGCCAAAGTACTCAGTGTTTATCACTTGACCACTATTTTTAATAAATGTGATGTCTGCAAAATGATACAAAGAGTAAAATGTACAAAAATGTCCTAACAAAGACGACACAGGAACCAAGAAAATCGACCTCTGACTAACTGGCGATAAAAAATAGAGATTTCAGGATTGAACTTACTGGAGTAAGTGAATTCCCCTTCACTTACTGGGTAAGTGAAGGGGAAGGTATTCTAAAAAAAAAAAAAAGAAGATAGGTTTGGGTCTCTTTTTTTTTTTCAAACGGAGTTTCCAAACGGCTTGGTTAAATTGTTTATGTCATGGCTAGCTTTATACGGCTTGGTTTACTTTTGTATTGCACTGTTAGTTTTCAAACGGCTGGGTTTACTTTTTATGTCATGGTGAGTTTTCAAACGGCTTGGTTCACTTTTTTATGGCATAGTTTTCAAACGGCCGGGTTTACTTTTGTATGGCATGGTTAGTTTTCATACGGCTTGGTTTACTTTTTCATGGCACTGTTAGTTTTCAAACGAATTGGTTTACTTTTTTATGGCATGGTTAATTTCCAAACGGCTTGGTTTACTTCTTTACCAACGTTTTCACACGGGCTGTTTGAACCATGCATGCAGGTTGGTAAATTAAACCTCGCCTTTAAGAAAACAATTAATCACGGCGTTTTTAAGTGGACCGAGTCCTTAACAATTGAGCATATATGTCACAGTTTGCTTTGCGAAATTGTGTCAATATATCCTGAACCTTTCTTATTCCCATTTTGTATATAGGACCCAAGCGTTGGATGATCAGACGTTTTTGGAAATCCTTCCTCCGAGACTACGGGCAGAAATCGCCATCCATGTTCATTTAGAAACGCTCAAAAAGGTGAGACATTCCCCTCGACGTTTAATTTGTCTTTAAACCCTATACTTCTAACCGCCCAAAGTAATATTAGGCATATTTTGTAAAATCACGGCTCAAGAATCCATGAACAGGTTGCTCTGGTATCATGCTGCCGTAATCGCTCTTTATGCCGATGTAAGCTTATTAAAGGGCACAGGACATGAATTTTACTGGGCTCATGTTTTTTTGCAACTTTCTACTCCTCTTGAATGTATGAAAAATATTTGGCATCCTTTTCTTTTGGTTAATTTTATTGAAAAAGCGCACTTTTTAAAAATTTCAAATTGTCCATGCTTTTGTTGACAAATGAGGGCGCTGTTACTGTGATGTCATTTCAGGAAGGCATTGTTTAGTTTAGGAGTTTTCTGTTTAAATTTGTGAACCCAAAGTTGCTCATTGAAACATTGGTGGAAAAACTTTGTTCATTTGCCTAATGTCATGTAGGCTACTGAAACAACCACGAATCACCAAAGAAAAGAAAATTTACGACAGCAAAATATCCAAAATTGTGGCAAATTTTGATGCTGAAATTGCTGTAATATTAAGGTTTCTGCTTGAAATGACATCACAGTTTTGCTAATGAATATGTAAATTTGAATTAGCATAAAAACCAAAAATGCACCAAAATACAGTTAAAAATTGCAAACTGAAAATTGAATATGAGGTGAAATGGGACACAAAGAAGCATTTCCAAGGATCGCATCAAAAAAATGTAATTACATTACGTGAGCCCTGTAAGTTAACTGTATTTACAAAAAGAAAAACAAATGGATGTGCCATTCGCGCGAAATGCTACATTTGCGAACACCCCTGAGAGGCGTAAAATATTGAAAGTGACACGCAGTGGGAGTTTGCGATGCGATCCTATAGGCATGGTGTGTCCCATTGTTGGTACTTGTGTCATTTCAAGGGTGTTTAAAGGGATCCTTAGGATCATTTGCATTTGATCTCAAAAGCAACTTAGGGAATTTTTATCAAAAAGCTTACTTTAGGTAGCGGAACTTCTCCACCCGTGAATGTGATGTTACTATCTTGAGGTCCAGCAACTGTATAGAGCGTTTATATTATTAGATTTTGTCCTTTATTCTATATGAACAACTTCAAAACCTATCTTAGGTGACATAAATCTCACAACCGAATTCAAAAACTAAATCACCGACAATTCTTCAATTTTCCACATCAGGTCAAAATTTTCGAGGATTGCGAGCAAGGTCTCCTATGCGAGTTGGTTCTGAAGCTGCGGTCGCAGATATTCTCCCCGGGCGACTACATCTGCAGACGGGGCGAGATAGGACGGGAAATGTACATTATTAATCACGGCAAAGTCCAGGTACATAATTCAAATTCGATAATCATTTAAAAATTCCATTAACACGATTCCGTGATGTGGTGGATTTCCCCTTTCAAAATGTATTCATTCATTCATTCATTCACTCATTCATGGCTATTAACGCCGAATTGAGGACATCTTTACAAAAATATGAAGAATGGGAGTATACGTTAGTATTATTAGATAGGCCTCTATAAAACTGGATTAAAATTAAAATGATTACAATTAAACACAACATGAGCATGCAACTCGCAGTACAACAAACATTAAATAACGTTTGAAAATACATGTAAGCTAAGAACATTAAGGGGTCATTTTGAAGACTCCAATTATGGAATCAGGCTGCTGCGGAATCGATTGGTTTTGCATTTGTACTGTTGGAAAATGGCCGTGTGTCTTAAAGGCAAAATTGGGGTTCTTAGCCATGATGACAGCAAACTCAACACATATTTTGTGTCTTCTCGCACTAAGGCTTTCCAGATTGCACAATGAGAGGGCAGAGGTGTAGTTAACATAATCTGTGCCTAAGATCATTCTGCAAGCTCTCATCCTATCAAGGGGATAGGAGCTTGAGTGTAGCCCTTATTAAATACGGGGACACAGTATTCTAAGATTGATCTGACATTATCCACTGTATCACTCTAAAAACTGATTGGTTATAACATAACCACAGATGTAAATGAACAATTTCCCATGTGCGCAGTCGATGAAAAAGGTCAACACTTTTTTTACGTCGCACAGCAGCCTAAAGCCCGGTTCATACTCTGCGCGAAAGCGAAAGCGAAAGCGAACGAGAATTTGCGACGTCATGGCAAGTACAGTATTCGCGCTGCGAATTCGTAATAGTTGAACATATTTCAACTCGGGCGAATTTCGCAGTAAATGTTTCATGACTTTAAATTCGCTTCGCATTCGCATGAACTATGAACCGGGCTTAAAACTCGACAGCGAATGTTTTAATAATTGGTGTCAAAACTTCCGCCAGACAACAGTTCAAAAACCTCTGGAAGGATCAGCGCAAAGGATTAGCAGTGATGACACCGAGAAAACATTTATTCTGACACTGGCAGCAGTTTCGGAAGTAACCCTGGAAATATGCAACTCACAGACCTGAAGAAATCTGTTAAGAGACGAAAGCCAATTATTCTCGGGAAACCCAATCAATTTTTGGACTAAAACGCCAACCCATTATTTCCCCGGCACGGCTGTGAAATCTTTGGCCCATAAAAGTCCAAAAAAATTTGAACTGTCATTATATATGTCGTATCCCCAATGTTTACAAGTTACAGCAAACCGACCAACCTGGTTACATCGGTGACCAGAATTTACTTTCCTCGAAAAGTTGTTTTTGAAACACGAACGTAATTCTAGTACCATAAATCTTTTATATCCATTTTATTCAGTTTCAGTCAGACGTGGAAATTACTTCTTTACAAGGTCCGCGTGGGTTGATAGTCCATTGAAACCGAACACCGAGTCTTTTGGGGGAACATTTAATATCCGAGTATGGTCATAAATGCCCTGTTGTGGTCCCAGTGTTAACCTAAAGCGTGCGCCTGCATAATTCATTAATTTTTTGGATTGTTGAATTGGCGACTTGGTCATCGAATTTCGAAAACAAGCCCGTAACAGCAGGTATACGAACCAGGCAGAGCTATCAGCCCTACGGCACGAACAGGGCGTCTAGGATTGGAAATTGATGTCTTCCGCCGTTGTTCATCTTTTGTGCCACCTAGGCTCAACTCAAGTCTCAGTTTTGGTTATAAAAAAATACACAGCTGCAACTCAAAATGTATGCGGGTCGGTTAAAACCGCGTAAATAGGTGCACCCCGGTAAATAGGCCTAAACTCATCCGCTGAGCTCATGAATAAAAGTTATACCCTCAAAATATTATATATTAAAGAGTTCCGAGCGCCATAAAATGGGAATTGAAGAGATATGGTAATGAACCTTTGGCCCGGACTTGGAGCTTCCAAATCTGAGCATTTTGGATGCAATTGGGCTCGAAAGTGGCACTATTTTGCCATGTTGCAGAGGGATCGCTTTTCAAGATGGCTACTTTTCCGCTTTGGGGAAGATAGGGGTCGTTTTCATTGGTGAGAATATCTCGAAAAGTCAATGGTCAACCCACCAAAAAATGAAAAGAAAATGAAAGATGACATGTTGATCATCACATTTCTGTGCAGCTTAAATACCCGTGAGAGTTTTTAGTATTTTTAAAAGAATTTTGAAGTATGGGAATTTAGCACTAGCGTCTATGGGAATTGTAAATGTAATACGAGGTTGCACCCTGATGTTGCATGCGGTAAAGAAGGCCTATAGCCTACTTGAGTGGATGTCGTCGAGGGCGTTCCACAGAAAAGTGTGCACAGTGCAACAGGCCGCGGTGTTTTTATTTGCAGCACACATCGTCAATGGATCATGATTATTCAGCTAGTTCAATGTATAAAGAAAATAACAATGACGTCACACTATTGCTATCACTCAGTCATGCATGTACATTAAAGCGTTTCAAAGAACGGCTTTCGTCGAGCTGCCACAGTGGCCTATAGCGGATAGTGGAATGAACTATCGCAAGATCTGTGGTTCGAACCCATGTCCATTTTCATCAAATGTTTTTGTTGGTTGGGATAAGTTTAATTGAAGGGAAAACACTACGGGAACTTAAGTGTCTTCCATCCACACAGCGTGATAAACATTAATGTTAGGGTGCGTGATGTGATTGGTTAAAATACGATGTACGCTGCAAAAAAAAAAAATACGCCAACGGGCCTTACCGTGCCTCGCAGCAAGGAAAAACAAATCAGTCTTGATTTCAAGTCTACTCGCCTGATGAATGTGATCATGTGACCAGTTTTGGCGTCAGTGGGATTCAACACGGTTCAAAAGACTCGCAGAACTAATTCTATCTCCGTCACGTACCATTCCAATCTGCTTCATTGAAACGATCCATTAAATAATACATCCAACTTTTTAAACTTCCTCAATCATTTTTCTTTCTTTCTTTTTTCTCGGTCGTTTAACTTTTCCCCTCCTTTTTCTTTTGTGACTTGATTTCTTCAGGTGGTAGTGCAAGACGCCGAAACCCAACAAAGCATGGTCGTCGCCACTCTGTCGGAGGGTAATTACTTTGGGGAGATCAGCTTACTCAAGCTGGATGAGGGGCAGAACCGGCGTACGGCCGACGTGGTCTCGCTGGGCTACTCGGAGTTGTTGTGTCTCTCCAAGAAAGACTTGATGCAGGCAAGAGAGATAGGGGTTAAGACGTGGGAATCGAGGGAGTGAACTTTTTGTAGGGAGAAGCGGTTATTTTTCTGATGATAATTTATGCAGTCACATCGACGCCTTGTACGGCCCATGCAATATAATTTATTTCTAATGCAATCCTTGAAAATGCACTTTTGTGTCCCAATTAAACTTTATTTTCAATTTTCGTTTTGCCATTTTCAATGGTGTTTTGGTGCCTTTTGGGTTTTATGCTTATTCGAATTTCCATGTTCATGAGCAAACGTGTTATGTCATTTCAGGCAGAAACCTTACATGTAATGCTACAGCTATTTCAGAACCAACAGTTCATTGCCAGAATACTTTATATTTTGCTGTCTTGAATTTTCTTTTCTTTGGTGATTCGTCGTTGTGTCAGTACATGACGGTAAGCCAACGAGCAAACATTTCACACAAATGTTTTCAATGAACACATTTTGGGGTTCACAATTTGACAGAAAACCCCTAAACTGAACAGTCAGTGTCTTCCCGAAATGACATCACAGCAACAGCACCCTCAGTTGTCCGGAAAAGTATGGACAAATTTAAACATTGAAAGGAGTGCACTTTTCAAAATTGCATGGACACTTTAAATGTCACTATGCAAATCTCAGCACGAACACGACGTCTTCTTCTTGTCATTGTCATTTGCGAATATTTGGTCAACGAAAATTATACATTTGCATTAAATGAGTAGTCAACGGAAGATTGCACGAAGAAAACAATCATTCATCAATCAACCTAGTATGAATCATTTACAAAATGTTCGATGTTCCCGTTCCCACACACAAACAAATGATCATCGCAACTTCGAAAATAAACATTAGAGAAAAATACTTGTTATTTTACTTTTTGCCAAAAGACAGGATACAGCCAAACGATCAGTGTCGCTTCAACTCACTGAGTTTGAGATGAGTTTCTAATTCAAGATAAACACCGAAAGCTTGACAGAAGCCAATATTATTGTTATCTCATAAAATTAGCGAGAAATATTAAACCTGCGAAAAGAAAGCATACTATAGATATTCAATCAATAATCCTGAATAAAGGAATTTAAATTTTGATCAATTTCAATATGAATTCTGCTGAATCCTAAATGCAAAATAAACTGGATTATTTTCTGATTTCTGACACAATGTTACCACGGTTATTTTATAAACAGAGTAGATATCATAGATTATTATATTTAGGGTTTTCCACCTTTTGCCGTTGGTGTCATAACAATTTTACTCAACGGCCGGGAATCCTAGTGTGCTGCACCCTGATTCATGCCATGTTACTCCCATGGAATACCCTCAACCTACCCTGTTTTTGTTACACCAGGCCCTGGTAGAATACCCGGATGCCAAGAAGGTTCTGGAGAAACATGGCAGGGATAGGATGGAGAAAAACAAAGAAGCGGCCAGGTACTAATTATTAAACACGGAAGGTGGAGTGAGTTGATTGCACACCGAGAATCCGAAAAGAGCATTTAGATTTCGTACATTTGCCGGTATTTTTTAAATGGCAAATGTATGTTTTAAAAGGAATGACCATCGTAAACACTGAATACACTAAACCAAAATACAGGTGGCTTTAATCGTCGATATTTCACAGAGGAAATAGAAATTCGATAGAAGAATAGTAAAAAAGAGACTAATATTTGAAAAAAAGTTGTATGTGTGGATTCGAATTTCTAAAAAAGGATTTCAACTTAATGATTCAAACGTACTTGTTTTAGGTTTTTGTCCTCGATTTAAACCTAGAAAATGGTTATTGAAATAAAATAATACCACTCTCTTTAGTCAACTGGTTTTTAGATAAAGAGCAGGGTTGTATACCAAATAAAATCAATCACATGTTATCCAGTATCAAGCTCATTCAACTGAAATCGACAATGGCCTTTCCTTATTGTTTTCCATCCCGGATATACTGACATGAATATGAAATGCGATTTGTCTTTTATGAGATTTGATATATCGCTTCGTGATTGACTTGACTAAAGCTCCATCAAATTGAACATCATTTTTACATTTAGGATGCAACGGCGAAAGTCCGAAGCCACCTTGCAGGTACCGGGTCAGGAGCAGCTACCGAAGGGGTCAGACGACAAGGCGGGCGGTAACGGCAGCGAGCAAGCCGACGGCAACGGCCGGGCTGGAGCCGGTGGACAGGCAGGAGAGATCGGTCTACGGGCACAGATTGAACTCATCTCCAAACTGGCCATGAAAGGTATATAATGCTCTACATCACTGTGAAAAATTTCCTGGGAACATTTACGGCAAACCATTCTGCCGTAGCATGGATATCTTGCTCCTTGACTTCTGAAAGCAGTGGTAAAAACTGTAGCCAAAAAGTGTTAAGAAATTTTTAATTTAAATTGGGGTTTTAATTTCCCGCCGTGCACACTTTTTAGCAGCAGTAAATGTTGCAAAAATAATGGACAGTCTTCATACAAGTGTGCCAGGGTTGTTCCGTCTATATTGCGTCTAAAGATGGTCACAAAATTACAAGAGAAACCACTGAACAATAAAGACAAAAAAACTAAATGAAGATACTCCATCTTTAATGTCGACGGCGTAAAATGGTCAATTTTGGACAATAGAGCTGTTGCTAGTTTCGCAGACTGATGGCCTTCCTTACGAGTCGCAGATGATCGTAAAGGACTAGGGAAAAAACGCAATTCTACCGTTTTCAGGAACACTGTCCATTCGGGAACAAAGGGTTGTAAATGTGCATGAAAAAAATAGAAAAGTCGGCGGCCATCTTTTTTATGCCGTGTTGAGTTTTCCTTATTCGATATGTGGCATGCTAAAACGATCCACGTGTGTTTTAATAGCTACTGGAATTCAGGTTTCAAGAACGACAGAAACTGACAAATTACGTTATTTTCAAGATCTTTAAGGAATCAGATTCAGTGTACTACAATTCGCACAATCATTTAAATAAAAAAGCCAGTTTAAACGGCTGCATTGAATGGCCACAACGACTTGCATTTTCGAGTGGACGGAAGATAAACGTCAAATGGAATTCATGGCTTAATTTGAATTCTTGCAAATTGTCCGTCCCATCAACAGGAAAGGAGATGAGTGAACTGAGACATATCATCAACGAACTCAGGAACTTTGACAGTATGGTAAGTGTCACTCTCTAAATTCCAAAGAGTGAAAATTCACTCCATTGGAGTGAAGATTCACTCCCACAGTCGGAAACTAGGGCCTAGACGTTTTAGAGTGAAATTCCTTCAATCGTAAAGATCTAGTTTTCAATCGAGCTCCGTCTGAAGTGATTCTTTTTCAGACTTTTTCAATCAATCATGAGAGTGATTTTCACTCTAAAACGTCTAGTCCCTAATTTCACTCTTTGGAATTTAGAGAGCATGAACATCTCACTTGCTATGTTGCCGATAATTATTGGACGTAACAGTAAAATCTCTTTAATTTCTCGGCTGTTTCAGACCCAGAATTTCTTCTCAGGAAGAAAAAAAAAACATTTTCATGTTGTTATCCGCATCCTTCATTTTCGTGAACTTCCGGGTAAGACTATACCCGTGCTGATTTGAGCGAGAATTCGCTGGTGCAGAACTTCCTCTGTTGATTAAATCTGGGGGAAAACCCTATCGACAAAACATGCACTCATTAGTGTCCATTGCAAATCAAGTTGAATAATATATCTTCTCATTTATCATTCATTCCACCATAGTTCCCTCTCTTTTGTCAAGCGTAATATGATACATTTACACTGGATATTTAATGCTGTGTTTTCTCCCTTTCTTTTCTTCGAAGTCCACAAAGGCGAAAATACACCAGCTTTCGCACAAGGTAAGTCAGAATTCGATTTATCTCGCGACATGCGAACGGGATTATGAGTCAATGTTCGCTGAAACATTATGCGTGCGCTTTCAACACAACATGGCCAGATTTTACGAGCCGCCATGGCGGTTTTGTATCACAGCCATAATTCATGGCTTGTTATGATTCATACGTCTGCCGTGTGGCCTGACATGTTGCAATGAATTGGCCATTACCAGACACGGTGTACCGCTAATAGAGATGGCCCTAATCCACTGCTCAACCGTTAGAGTAATGATCGGGGCAATGACAGACCTGCCGTGCGGGTTGTTTATGCTCTCGTTTTTTCCCCCTACCCACGCCGTCGGCCGGAGAACGAGGGTTTTACAGCCAGAGAAAGAGAGAGGTATGTTTAACGCTCTGGCCCGGAGTGAGATTATAAGGAAAGACGGTAACGGGTCAGAGTGGATCTGTCGTACAACCGCCGAACGAAATCCACTGATTGAAAGCTGAAGATGATGGCTTTCCAATAATCACCCGATTGCCGAGCAGTGACAATCCCCGACTGATGTTTACATTATTTTACTTTCTCTCACTTGCTTCGCGGCGCGGTCTTCTTGATTAATACTTACCAACCAACCAAACAACCGACGGACCCCCCCCCCCCCCTCGCTGAGCGTTCATCGCCAGCAACTTCCAAAATGACTTCCGAGGAAGTATGCGTCGACGTCCTATTTTCGTAATAGCTGGGTAATCGGGTCCGTAATCGGAGATGTTACGGCTCATAGTTTGCCGTCTTTAATGGATGATTGCCCGTCTTCTCCACTTTGGATTGCAAGACTCCTTGACGCATCGGCAATTTCGTTATTGTTTTTCTAGACCTCCAGTGTCTCGGCGAAGATGCCGCAGAGGTCGAGGGATAAAAATGAGAGGGGGTCAGGCCGCCAATTGATGACCGGGGAAGGGGATAAAGGAACGAGGCAGACGTTGGGCTGTAGACTGATTACCGCTTCTCCACTCAAGCTAATTATTTTTCTTCTTCTTCTCTCTCCAGTGTGATGAACTATGGAAGAAATTACGGCAGAAGGACCTGGATTTGAAGCGAGCCCTGAGACGGATTTCGGAGCTGGAGAGTCGCATAACTGCGGGGACTAATGGGATCGGCCGCGCCCCTAGACGATTCAGCCAAGCTTTGGTCAAACGGTCCAGATCGTTACACCTGACAGCCTATGATGAAGGTAGTCTAGACGATGAGTCCTCGCTATGGGCTAGCCTGGATAGCGGCGACGGTACCGAGAATGGGTACTCACCGACCGGTCTGTCCAACGGTCACGGACCCCATTGGGCCGGGGGACTTACGGGTAAGGACAATCCTAGGACTCCCTCCACGGACAAGTCACCGGAGCACAGCCCGAGACGAGACAAGTACGTCAAGGAGGTCATCGTGCCCGGCATCCAAGTCAACGGAAAGGTCAAGCAGGAGCCGGTCACCATGAAGTGGGAGGTGTTCGCCGACGAGGAGCAGTCAGATCAGGCTAACGACTCCGAGATTGAGAAGACCATGTCCCAGTTACGACCGGCCATCGCCAGCCTGGCCCTACCAGCCTCCGGGCGTGGGTCCGGGAGCATATCGGATGCGTCCTGCTACAGTGATGCTAGCTTAGACAGTGACTTATGATAGATGTAAACAAATCACAAAGGATGTAAATGCTCCCTTCTCCTTAGATCTTTAACCCCGCCAACAGAGAAGAGATGCTTGATGTCAGCTTCATAGGTACTATATCCCCCACCATTTTTGGTTCACTTGGCTCATTTCGTCTTTCACTATTTCAATTTTTGTGCTTACTAAACAAGTATACGAAATCATAGGAAACGTGGATAGAAAAATGATCAATTCCTCTTATTAAGATCATCGCACATAAACGTTCTATAGAGGCTTTACACTTCTTCAATGGCAGCGGCCCCTGTCTATTAAAGTCGTGCAAACATTACATGTTGAGTGCAAAATTTTTGCACGCAATCACATTGTGACATTAAAACAGTACCAGCCAGGCCACAGAAAACTGAAAATGTGTATAGTGATGATGCATGGCTGTGTAGACAAATTGGAGCCTGCCCTTTATGTACATGTGTACCAATTTCGAAAACTAGAGTTTTGGTTTTTTATTTCTATTTTCTAGCAATACAAAGATAATATGTTTGCATAATACATCCACCACAAATGACTGGTTTCCGTCCTTATCGGTATATATATATATATACAATGTAGGGACCCGGGAACCAGTCGATCTGCAAGGCAGATCTCTTTATGCGCAAAAGCAGAACAAAATAAAAACATTTTCGGAGGGTAGCTGTCGCCAAAAAAGGGAGAAAAGGTAGGTTTTGCGATAAAGTAAAACAAAGGCCCTATCTTGAACCTTCGAAATACATCTATAATCTCGTTGTGCTTGATTATTTTCCTGTTTTTCAAAATTAGTACTATGCTTGTTTGTAGCCTATTCATGTGGTATCAATTGTTTATTTTGTCTTATTTTGGATTGTTTTTCTTTTATTCAGAGAATCAGTGACAATTGAGTCTGTTCCTTTCTGACCTGTTATGGAACCAAGTCGTTGTCGCCGGAAAAAAATGTCACAGTTAGTTTAAATTGTCATTTCGTCACTGACTTGTAATTGTTTGGTTGAGATTCTTCTTGTCAGTACGTTTTTCCTCACGTTGTGGTTGGGAGTTATTCATTAAATATCAATGTTGGTGCTCTCAAAATTCGCAATGTTCATGGTTCGACCGACCGTGGCCCGATTCTTGGAGCGATAGCAGAAACACAAAACATGTACTAGACACAATCTCCATCCAATATTATAATGTTTGCCTAGCACATTGTTTTTATGCAATATTTTCTACTGAGCAGCCGCGAACAATTGGGTCCAGCTGCTCATTAATTATTAACTTGCCCCAAGATATACCTATGAGACTTTAATTTATCAACGAAGACCGTATTTCTAAATTAAATGTCACGTACAATTTTCTGTTTAAAGTACTCATGAAGGTCTGTATTTTATTTTGTGTCCTCAAGCCACTGTGTTCAGAACAAAGTTGGAATTTTTTTAACATTCATATATTATATTGTATCTGTTCATGACAACTTATCGCCTGTGTTTTGAGTTCCAGAATTTTGTTATGAGCTTTATCTAATTATTTTCAAAGCTCTGGATGGTGTTATATATATTTTTTGCCTGGTGCAGGCGTGTTACGCTATACGCGATACAAATACATTATATTAACTCTAATCTACGTGTTAGAATCTGTCTGGAGTCATGCTGTATGTGACTTTGTAATGAACTTTAAAAATCAATAAAGATTGATATATTCTACCGGTACTGCGCATTGGTTCATCATTGGTTTTTCAATTATGTTTGCGAATATAGCGCATTGTCAGAAATGTTAGAAATGCGAGCAAAATTTGTTGTGGCAGAAATTCTTCTTTTTTTAACGAAGATATTTATTCCTCCTACATTTTGCGAACCAGACTATAATACTCACTACGCTGCGATCACTATCTTTAAAGGGAATATACATCATTTGCTTTGGCTGTAATTTTCAGAAATGGATGCAATTGGGGGGTTAGAAATATATAGCAAATATAGTTACACTGATTTTTTTTGAGGTTTTGGGTTCGAAAATGCTATAAAAACCAAGAAAAACGATAATTTTCCTGTAGTCTGGTTCCCTGACTCCATATAAGAAGAAACAGAGCGATTTACATACATTGGGGAATTGTAAGGTCAGGGAACCAGTCTAGCTGGCTCGTACCCGTTCATAGGTTTGTAATCGATTGGAAACAAGTGCGATGGTCAATTGGGGCCATATTTGAAAAAAAGCCAGTTGTTTCCAACGCTGATCGGCCGATCAGCGTTGGAAATTGATACAAAAATACCACTTTTCTTGAAAATGACAGTATACCAGGTGCCATGATTTTACAGGATGCTTTACACTGTCATCACTAACAGTCCAGCAAGGTATTTCAAAATGATTTGGTTGTTTTATTTTTTGATGTTTGCAAATGTTGTATTTTCCCTTTAAGCAAAGGCTTTGACTTTTCTAGTTTTAGGAAACCCAACAACAAATACATTGAACCCCAAAAAAGTCCCCCCCCCATACTTTTTTGTCTAAATCAAAAACCACTGAGCATATCTTTGCTCAAATAACGACTAATCAGCACAGAAATTCCTTAGCAATCCAGCCATAGTCTTTATTTGCCACAAAATAGCGATGTTGTATTTTTATAGTAATTGTTTTAATGATGGCCCATTGAAAATCATTCCCGAGGTTGCATAGCTACCATCACTAAATGAAGGTATTATTATTATATATTTTTATTATTAATGTGTACACAATTATGCAATTTATGACAAATGATACCGAAAAAAAGTTGCACTTTTGTATACGTGCAAGTTGAGTGTGAACCTTTCGTCTCTGACGCAATCTTCCAGCGACAAAAAATCTCAAACTAATTTAAAATTTTGTTGGTTATCTTTTCACCCTCTCCTTTCCTTTATTGCATACTATGTTATGTTCTTCGAGGTTCAGTAAAGGAAAGGGGAAAAAGATAGCCAACAAAATTTGAAATAATTTTTAAAGATTTTTTTATTGGAAGAATGCGTTGGAGACGAAATGTTCAGTGTTGAGTGTGAACATTTCGTCTCTAACGCAATCTTCCAACAGTAGTTTTTAAGTCGGACAAAACAGTATTGGGGAGGACTTTCTGTTTTGGTTGAGTGTAGCTCTCCGTATTGCTTGCTTTTCAACACAATTCCAATACGATCGTAATGTAAACCTAATCATGTTGAGGGTGGTTTGACTACTTCAACCTCCATGCGGATTAACCTTATCCAAAAAAGATGTCCAATTCCTCCTAATTGCGCTATTTCAAAAACCGGGAGGCTTTTAATTGGACATGATGTTCAATAAGTTGTTGATTTAATGCAAGCAGAAAACCGAATCCCTTCGATGTGTTGTTCGTCAGCTAAAAAAATCATCCCCACCATTGGTGGCGGCACTGCCGACTTTACTAACAAGCCGATCTGACTGAAGGAAAAATCCGTCCAAGAAAAGAAAAGGAAAAGAATAATGGGATGAAGTCACATCGGCTTAAAGGGGGAGAGATTTGGAGAACTCGGGTAAACCAATTTGGCAATGTCTTTGTCTGACTATTAGGCGGATACACCCAGAGCCCATTCAAGTCATTAGCGCGATTTTGTTGTGGTGGCTTAGCCCTGGAGTTAAGCTCTTCAAGTGATTGTGAACATGGAGACCGTACGGTCCCGGAAGAGCCTACTATAGGGCCAATATCCGCCGATAGTTCGGCAGATGGGTGATGGGATTGTGCCTGTGATGATGCACGCATGGCCTTTGACACATAGTCAGAGTATGTCATGAGAAATATATTTGGCTATAGGGCCATAGCAGATTTGTCCTTTGAAAAGATATAGGTGGAAAAACAAACAATGGCAGCCATTTTGAACATTTTGAAAATTGCTTGTTGGCTTCCCATGTTTCTTCAAAGGACAAATCTGCGGTGGCCCTATAGCCAAGTATCTTTCAGACATACCCTGAATGTGTGCCAAATGCCATGCTTGTATCATCAAAGGCACAATTCCCTCAAATATTTCTATCTGCCCCACTACAATGACAGAAATCAAACATACCTAACCAGGGGCGCCCCCCCCCCCCTCATTTTCTCAGGACAACAAAAGTGCCCCTCTCGCGGTTAAAAATGTGCCCCTCGAGATGAAAAGAAAACTGCCCCTCAAACGCACACATGAAAGCATATGATCGCGCTACAAACAAACTTGTCTCCTCTCTTGTAATGCAAAACTGTCCTTAAAATTCGAAACCACAAGTAGCCTAGGCCTACCCCTCTCGCATTAACAAGATTGTGCACCTTCTCCAGATGGAAAACTGCCCCTCGAAAGCACAATTAGTGCCCCGCTCGCAACATTTCAATTTTGCCCCCTCTCATTCAAGTTGGAAAACTGGCCCTAAAAATAATAGTGTTCTTCACGCAAATAAAATGATCACTGAACTGACCATCGAAAACAACAGTTCCCCTCTCGCGAAAAAAATATAGTCTCCCTATACATAACTAGGTGAAAGAAACACAAAGTGCAAGATGGACAACGTATTCATAATTCCTCGCCATATTTTATAGCAAAATTAACGAGACCATATTATTTTCCTCTACTTTCACATCGACGCAACGGACGGTTCCCCTTTCTCTGAGCAAGAGCCCCTTTTTGAAGGTGCCCCCCCCCCCCCCCGCCGGGTGGAAAGCGTTCCGCCGCCCCTGTACCTAACAATGATCAGCATGACGCTTTGGTGCTGGTCGAATGCGGGAAACAATCGTCGAAATGAATAACTGTCACCAATGCAATCGATCAAAATGCGAAAATGATGATGGCACTACCAGGAACATTTGATACTAATTAAAGAGTGAATGAGTGACAGTGGTGTTTATCCTAAAATTGTGTGAGTTATTACTCTAGCAATGACCCTGGCTCTTCCTACAAACAATGATCAATTTCCAGCAGCGTATAGGCCTACTCTCGGCACTGCGATTGTCTTTTGGGGGAATGAAAGCTCTTTTAATAGTGAGTGTTTAATACAGCTGGCACTTAACATGTTCAGTATGATTAGTTTTATTTTCAAAAGAGTTAGAGCTTCTACGATGCGGGCAGGCAATAATTAAGCACAGTCAATGTTAAGACACCATTAATAGGAACCTTCATTTGCATTTTCAAGTAGATTGATTATGTATGCCACTGATACTTATACGGGTTACTTTTTGCCTTCTTCGGCTGGTCAATATGTTTTAGAGGTGCTGTAAAGTAACCGATTAAGATTCTAACATTTCCATCAAGTTAGGTTTTCGAACCAATTAAGCGTTGTTTCCGAGTTTTGTTTTCCTTCCATCCATGTCATTGCTTTCCTGTTTCTACACTTGTACTTTTTTGGTGATGGGTGGGTGGGTGATGCCCTTATACGCACTCACCGCTGATGCATCAGAACTCTACATGTATTGATTTGACTCTTGAATTAATGCTAAACTAAGGCATCTTGTTTCATAAAATGGTGCGTTTAGGTTTACCATTTCCCCATAATGATGACCAGAAATTGATTAAAATTTTGGGTGGCGTTGCCTTCACCTGTATTTATAAGAAATCGTTTTTCTATTTTAATCCCAAGTTAGTTATTAAACTTTCGGACATCAGGGGTGGATCTAGCTTTCAGGAAATGGAAGAACCCCCCCCCCCCCATGTTGAAATCTACGAGGTCCTCTCCTGAATTCTAATACGACAATTTTAGAATAAATTTTGGAACTTTAACATTCCCTTTATTATTTTTGACCCCATTTTTTTTTGGGGGGGGGTGGGGGTTCCCTCTAGATCCGCTACGGGACTTGTTGGTAAGCCTCACAGTACAGTACACCTATATTACAACGCCAGAATATAAAATAACTTTTTCCAATCTTGTGTTTCGTCTTTAGATTTCCTTGTGGGTTGCTCGTATATAAAACGAACTGGACAGTGACATCTTTGAGGAAGCTGATCACTGTCTGAAGCGTGGGTTGCACGGCGCATTTCTGCCTGCAGTCTCGGTGCCTCGTCGGGCGACCGTCTGACATGCACTTTTAATCATATTGCGTTCAAGTGAAGCAATTATTCGATACTTGATTGTATTACACAATATTCCAAGCTTCTTCCTGAAAATCGATCTCTACATCTGATCAGATTCCGATGCACTATAAGCACACACAAAATTACTAATTATTATAAGTCATGTTTGCGAGCCCTTTTGTAATCCACCCTGGGTATTCATTACATAGACATCAAGGCACTCTGGGGCATAATTCTAAACGCCGGCAATTTCCGCGGTCATATTTTTTAAAAAGAATAGTCTGGCTGACTTGGATTCGTAGTAGTTGGGTACGTCAAAGTCCCGTAGGCTTTTGGTGAAGAGATAGTCGTGTATTCCCTTCCCTTTCCCCCGAAGAGTGATAGCGATCACTGGCGTGGTCTGTATCACATCTAACGAGGGTCGCACTGGGCTGTCGATCATTCGCCTAATAACGATAATTGCTTGCTTGGGGGCTCTATTGATAATCACCCTCAGAATGTTGTCTCTTCCTTCTTTCCTCTGCCTTAGTCCGATCTCTCTGATGGTTGTCCTTACAGCACCTGTTTGTCTGCCGTGACTCTGTGTGATGGGGCTTGCAGCCCTGATGTGACGGTATCGGTAACGTGCTGTCGCCGCCACCGCTATCGAACGCGGCATCGACCTGCGCACTCATGCGGATAAAGTTAAT